ACCCGTGATAAGAATCTAACTTTGATACAAGTTTTATAGAAATAAGACGAACAATATATAAATTAATATATTTACAGACAGACATTTACAACAGACAGTAAAGTATGTGTTATGTCAGCGGTTCACGAAGGGTGCGCTAAAACGAGTTGCTAAGTGCGCCGCGAAAATTAACAGAAATGTGTTAAGCATAACTAAAATATGATTAATATTTACCCAACTTATTTAATATACATGTTCTATTGTTTCCTTTTTTAAATGCTGTATGTACAAATCAATCAATTCGTTTTACTTTTCCATATCGTTTACTTTCTGTTACGTAGTGACGTCCTCTATTGTTAGGTAACTATAGAGGTAGTAGACACTACTTGCTGTAATTTCGCGAGCTACAGTTTATTTATCTACTGTAAACCGAGTTTAGCGAACATGGCTGATTTTTTTAGGATTACCAAAAAAAAATCGGGCTGAGATTTACTTGTATTCAAAAGCAGCATTTTTTTGTGCAATCTCGCCGTGAATTTTTTCCTGATAATTCGCCGCACAGACAAAAAGTGGTACTGCCGTAGTATGTGTACCAGGTTAGGGTTATGCCATAATTGTATTCCAATTTTCCTTATTTTAGTTCTATTACGAGTTCGGGGATTAGCCAAGTGACTCCCGTAGTATTTGTACCTAGAATTATGTCCTAACCCTAACCTGGAACACATACTACGTTCCGGTGTCCGCCATCTGCTTCACATACTACGGGAGCACCCAAAAAGTTTGGGAACGCGCTGTTATGGCATCTGAAATCTCTGGGTTGACACTTTGGTATAAGTCAGATATCTCCGGCCCAAATCCCAGAAAGTACGAGTTGTGGTTATCGACGCAAATTTAAAAGTAACAGAAGTTTGAGATGAAATGCTACTTAAAATATTTAACGACTGACACCTTTTAACAGTATTGAATTGCGATGAAATGACATCTAAACATTTCACGACTGACGCTTTTTGACAGTTACTTTTTTAACGTTGCCAAGACGAAAAATTTTACCTTAATATTGCGTAACTTTTTTAACACCCTGTATATATGTAGTAAAACATGCATAACAGGTAGAAAGCAATTATCCCTGGTATATGTTACGCAGACATACAGTGACTTCTGATCGATATTTATAACATTCTGCGTAGTTGCCCTAATTATGCCAAGTCTGACATATTTATTCTCGCTGTATCCACTTGGTATATTTGGCCATTCAACTGTGTGATTGTTATAAAATCCAATTGTCAAAATTTCCGAACATTTGAATACTTAAGTGTATCTAAAAATCAGGAAATATACCTGAAACTTCAAATAAGTATCAGAGGGACTCGGCTGGAATGACTTTCTTATGCAATAGCCTAATACGAATATCGTTGGCAGACGCTGATCTGTCGAGTCTTTGGCATGTTCGAAACTGCGGTCGAAGTTTGAAATTGACGAATTTGAACTCATATGTAGGACTAGCACGTCAGATCATTCTTGCTTAATGGAGATGTCTTATATCGATTATTGACGTAAGCACTGTGCGGTCGAAAAAGGCAATTATCTGATTTCGATACACGATAATTCGAAAAAATAAAATTCACGTGGCGTGAATAAAAATAAAACATTGGGGCGTCTATGAGTTTTCGGTTTCACAAACTGATCGGAAGGTTGCGAGCTTGAAGTCAAAACATAGTAAACGAAATTCTTTAGTATATACCAGACAAACTACGGCCTGCGTGTCAAATCCTGCCCGTTGGGTAATTCAATCTGGCCCGCCTGATGCTGTCACAATCAAATTAAAACCAAATTTTGCTGTTTTAGCAAAAAAATAGCTCAAGGAATTTGTTGGGATTGCAATCAAATTGAGTTTGGGCAGAAGGCTTATTGATTTCCACTCTTGCTTTTGTAACACTGTACAAATTGTTCATAAAACGTAACTTTTTCTTCATACTCACATGGCCCGCCAGTCTAGATGGGCAAAATTTTCGGCCCCTGGTCTGAAAACCTTGTCCACCGCTGGTATATACTAAGAATAATTTGAATCAAGTCTCGGAGTCTTTTTTATATCACGTCAGTTCAATTCTGGCCACCTAACAGGGCCCACACTTAGATGAGCTTAGTATTTTGAAATTTATTGAGGATATTTCTAACTTAAGGATAGAATGTGTTACCGTATCCAGTGGTGTATTCTAGGGTATGGCAGCCATTGCTCGTGCCGTGGGCGCATTTGGAAAGGGCGTAAAGTTTTAACCGTAAAATGCTTCAATGAAATAATTTTAAATTGTAAATAATTGAATCTCGTATTTTCCCTTAAATCATAACGTACAAGTATCTAAATTCAACATCAGTCGTTGAAAACCTTCAGTCAACAATCAAGCGGCGCAATCTTTACCCACTGACAATTTTAAAGCAATTGGTCCAGTAGGTAAAATAAAAGGCGATTTTTTTATAACGACAGGAAGAAAAATACCAACAAGATTAACAACATAATAACAAAACGATTCATAGGTCCATTTCGTGTCCAATAATAAGCGCTTTCACATTCTGTTCGCTGTTTGCGAGTTCAAAAAATGTCCCAATTCTCTTTGTTCTATTGGGGGTTAACTCAAAAAACGGAATACGAATTTAATCGGTAAAACAGTGCACAAACGGGATCTTTTGTACAAAGCCCCACCACTACCACTAATGTAACAATGTGAGATTTGAGAAGAAAAAAAGGTTTTAAAATGAGTAATTATCCAGAAATTCAGTTAGGTATCGGTTAGGAATGATTTAAAAATTTGAAGTTTCAGCGCAATCTGCATTCCTATCATTCGTTCCAACTGGATTTGTTCTTAATTTTATATTTTGAGCGTTGGCGAGGATGTTTTTTTTTATCGGGGGCTTTATACAAAAGATCTCCCAAACGTCACTGAAAACTACATTGGTTTTCTGATTTGCTCAAACTGGCCAAAAAGTTGCGAGTTTAAAATTGCCACTGAATAAGACTGCCATTATATGCTTTCTAATGATGACAACCCGAAGAACACGCGACCTTACGAGTTTCGATCGGGACAGAAACTCTTCGACTCTCCTTACCCACATGACGTATTTTTGTAAATATATCTTACTATTGCAAAAGCTTGTTTCCAGATGATATCATTCTGAGTTTCGATTTGCGACTTGCGTACATTTGAGAGTATTGTTTCGTCACATTACGTCATAATCTAATTCTGTATTTTATCGTCTATATTCGTGTTTTTACAATTTCAAGTTTCATTGGAAAGTCGCTTGAACGTATTTGGCGAATTTAGGCAGTTTTCGAAACTCGGTTCTTTCCTTAAAAATAAGATTTTGTCCTTTGTGAGTACAGACGCCTTTATGTTATTCGCATCGTACCTCGAAACGCGTGATGGTGCGTTATTAGTCCTTGGAGTTAGCAGCATTACCCTGTTTATTCGTATAGGCAGGGCTGCCATAACGTCCTTATTTCTAAGAAACGTCTTTGACATGTGTCCTTATTTTTGTTTCATTTGAGAGGTAGAGGTACTAATACCAGGCACTTAGAATGGCCAATTCGAATAATTGATTTGCTGGAAATGATATTAGAACCTCATTGATTGCTATGCGCATTCACGGCGTAAGTGAAAGTGAACTTAGAAGTGAGATGGAACAGATAGGGTGCTCCCGAAGTATGCGAACCAAGATGGCGGACATCGGAACGTAACATGGGTAACAGGTTAGGGTTAGGCGATAATTTTTTTCCAATTTTCCTTATTTTAGTCCTATTATCAGTTCGAAGACTAGCCAATAGCCTCCCGTAGTATTTATACTTAAAATTATGGCCTAACCCTAACCTAGTACACATATTACATTCCGATGTCCGCCATCTTGGTTCGCATACTTCGGGAGCCCCACAGATAGTTCCTAAGAATAAAAAACTATTGGTACAAATATATTCTAGTGCAAAGTATGATTAAACACGGGTCGCACTGACATGACTACATTTTGTCCGTTACATTTCGTTTCTTGGTATCTTATTATTTTGTTTCCTCGATGTCCTTATTTTTGGGTTCATCTCGATGGCAGCCCTGCGTATAGGTGACGCAAAAACAGAAGCATGGTCATTTGGAACATATTCTAATGGTTCCGTTTTGTTCACCCTGTACGAGGTGTTTTACGTTCAAAACAGGGATCTTTACAAGAAGACAATATTATTTAGGAGCTACTATGATAGAAAGTTTAGGATCAACCATTTTATTGTAGCCTTAGTGTGAGATGGTGTTACGGACATTGTAAATGGTGTCCCCCCTCTGCCCATAGGTTTAAGTCTCTTTACACAACTTGATATATATAATGTAGGCACACAAAATCAGTTTTCTCCATATTGGTAAACATACTTCTGGAGCGCCGTATTTTGTTATATGGAAGCTATCAAGTTTTTATCCCAATTGCAATATTATGGATTCGAATCGCGGTTAGTTCAAGTTTGACCTATTTGGCTTGCCGTTGTGACTTGTTTAATTCTTGACCATAATGCGTTTATTCGTACTTTCGGTTGTTTTGGTACCGTATCAAAAAAATTATGAAAATATATAGCAAGATATTTTTATTTAAAAGTAAAAGGACATAAAGTGTTGAGAGTCTCAGGAAAGGGGGGCAACAATGTATGCATGTATGTATGTTTATTTGCCTCAAAATGTAACAGTATCTGCATAATAAATAAACAGTGTAAAAGAGACAGGATACATGTTCAAGACCTTACTGGCCTAAGACACAGATGTGCGACATGCACCCCAAACAAGTATAACAGCAGTTTAGGACTGGTGCGTTATATTAGGACAATATACATAAAAAATAGGCTATACAAATAAAACTCCAATACAATACAAAGGACGATATTTACAATAATTCATATGTACAATAATCATCGAAGTTTAAGAACCCATATCCTAGAGACGCACCCAGCTATCATTATTGAACTTGACGATTACACTTTTCTGATCATTTATTTCTAACTTCACAGGGTTTAGATACCTACTATATCTTATAAAAGCAAATAATATTGTACATAATTTCCATGTGACCTTCGACCTCTGCGACATTAAACCTTTTATGATGGATTTTACAAAAACCAAGAAACTCCTTCTGACTGCAATATGCATGCTGTTAGTTAGTAAGTTGAAATTGTATGTATTATGATTTTTTATGAATTTCATATTTGATATGGATGAAGGAAAGTCGCTCAAGAGTAAGGACGGGGCATTGTACCAAGATAGGATATACATATTATCCCGGGGAGAGGAAACAACGGCCACTCTTCCGGTTACCACTCCATGTCGGGTATGGTATTAGTTAGCGTGATATTTGTTCCAGATGCATGGACTTATGGGGAGGAAGTCGTAACCGAACAGCGGTTACGTGAACCACCCTTCGGCGGCGAGGAGTCCAGCTCTCATCTCGCATTTATCCCACGAGGGACTCGAACCTATTATGCAGAGTAATGGGAGGTGCGGTGAAGAGCGTATTCCTAACTCTCAACACGATGCGTCACACCGCCGAGCCTGACTGAGCATTAGGAACAAGCCTATCACCGCACCCAAGGCTGTGGCGTTGGAAAAAATTTACAATTTATAGAATTTCGATTCAACTCCATTTCCGGACTACTGTATAAGAAAAAACTTTGGCGTATGCCAGACTCCTTTAGACTGTTGAAACGCATATTTAACTTAATGCTTGTTGAGTTTCTGTAGCGAATTAATTGAAGGTGTGACATTTCGACACTGATTTCGTGGAATTTGAAATTCTTACTCCGACTTCGGGTACTTCCAAATTACGACACTGCGGCATTTGCAGGGAGACGTTCTGACGTCTCTTTCAACAACATTTTGGATTTACTGAAAAACGACGTTTTCTGGCTTACTATCAATATAATCCTTTCTCCAAATGGTCCAAACGAAATAGATGAAAGTGTGCGTTTATATAGCTTGGATAACCGCGACAGCGAAGTGAATCTGTAGAGAGATATTGTTGGATATCAGTGGCTGCTATTTAGCCTTGTTTGAATCAAAAGCACGAATAATCGTCGTATGGCGTCCAATATACGAGAAAAATGAACATTAGGGTCTGGTTACGACCTTGACTCAAGAAAAACATGCAAACTTCGGCCTCACAGTCCTAATAAAGTACAATTTCATAAACAATGCCTCAGCCAAAAAAAACACGAGAGAGTGCGAGCTACATTTCAAATCTCCTGCTATCGTTAACTTATCGATAAAAACGTTTTTTTTCATCTAGGAAATTGGTAGTCGTATTATGGCTATGAAACGATCATCATGGCTAGGAAACGAACCATCAATCACTTGCTTCCCAACACTTTACTTGACTTTAACTATATCATTCGTTTTTAGATCACGTTCCGAAAATATCCGCCCAGGAAGTAGATGTTGTGACAGGAGTAGAAGGTAAGTGCTCAATCCTTTCTGTTTACTTTTCATATTCTAGTCAATTTTCTACATCATATATATAATGGTACTCATTATTCAATGGATTTTTAATACAATTTTACAAATACTACTCTTTGAAGCAGTAGTTCCAAAACCGTGGGCAAATACTGCTCGCGTTAATATGGCCCGCCGAATTGGCATGCAATAGTGTAACCATCCCCCCCTTTTTCCTTGTAAATCAGTGGTTCTTAAACTGGGGGGAGGGGGGGGGGATTTGTGTTCAAGGTAACTCGCGGTTGCGGCGACTCATGACAAAATAAACTCATTACCTATCTAAAATACCACGCCAATCTCCAATCAATAATATCCCAGAAAGTATATTTAATTTAGTACAATTAAAATACATGTAAAGTATATTAGTAGATGAAAAATACATATTCATCAAACGAAATCCCCGCGGTACGGCTTCTGAGTCAGTCATCGAGATTACGCCAGTCGTTAAAGAGCCGACTTTTTCAACGGATATGTAATGGTTCTTCTGTTGAATAGAATATTCATTCCATGATTGATATACTTATTTAAAATGGTTGCTTTATTTATTTAATTGTGATAAATTAAATTTGCGATTGCGTCGATAAAATAAAAGCACCAGTAACTACTCCAAAATAACACGGTGATCCGCAACCATAAAAATGTCGATCACATTTTGTTTCGATTTGTATTCTTGCCAATTTCACCAATATGAGCTGTCCCTGCAACTCTTACTCCGCTCTATCGCAATGCCGCCACTCGATTAATTTCAAGACATCACAGTTACAGATATTTCTAAGTCTGCGAGTAAAATTTATATCAAGTCTGTAGTTTTAGAACACTACTGGTGTGCCGCACGCAACAAGGATATGAGATTTTAATGAGATTTTTTATGAGATTTTCAATGTCTAATAAACTGTTTTTAATTTGTCGCGGTCCACCCCAAAACAAAACTTATGGCGTTTTCCGTTTTATTTTTAGTATTTTCTAATGCCACTTTTACAATAAAGAAATTTTAAGTTACGGATTCACTTCTTTATTCTATCTTTAGCATCTCGTCGCTGATGATATATTAATAACTAACTCGTTTTCCTCAGAGGTGTCATGGTTCCATTCGAGAACAAAAAAAAGTAATTATAATCGTCTTCGCGGCTCAAGAATATATCGAGGAAAATTTCGGATTTAGGAAGAATAACATCAATATCAAGATTTTTAGGGCTTAAATAACACGCCACGCTGACGTAAACAATGGAGATTTGAACAAAATGCAATCGCAAACGCCTTAGCGACAACAATTGATTGAAATTTTACGTGTCTTATGTAAACGTTTAAGCAGAAAATACATTAAGGCATAGGTTTATTGCTTGTTTAGTTTTACTAAATATGTAGATTGACTTTGCCAAGTATTGAGAACTGAGCGGAAAAACGAGAATGTATGATGACCAACCACTATTTGGCTTTATAGATACGACAGTGAATGGCGAAGATGTACTCCGACGCGTTTTATGCCTAAACAATCTGAGCAATGACGATATGAGACCAACACTCAGTTATAGCGCCATCTTAATATATATAACAACTTGTCCATCACAAAAGCATTTTTTCAAAGCAAAAAGAGGGGGGCGCGAAGTGTGTAAATTTTTTCAAAGGGGGGCGTGGCTCAAAAAGTTTAAGAACCACTGTTCTAAATGCTGTTAGCTGCTAATTCATTTTCACAGTTTAAGCATTTATACCGGTCTCTTAATTATACTATCGGCCTCTTGCGGGCGCTCACCTCTTTAGCCCGCGAATATCCTTCCACTTCTAATTTTGACACCACTGTTCCAAAGGCTCATAGTCGATCACTTTAATTTGGGCCGTACATATCATATTCTACTCGCGTACGGATATGTTAAATCCTATCTACGGGACAAATCACATGGCAACGTGAATGTTTTCAAAATTCGTGTCATGCTTTATACACTTCATCTCAGTCGCGAATGCGAACCTATATATACAGTGGTTTCTTAATCACATCGGTGAAAAGATATAAAGCCAATACTGACTGACTGGTTAGTTTAACTTTGTGTGAAATAAAAATACCATTTAAAGTGTTTTCATGATATATCGTTGTCATCTTATGACGATTGTAATCTATTGACATCCCTAACGCAAATATAAATTTTCACGTATGTCAGCGACTATTCCATAGAACTCTTCCCGACTTTATTTAGGAAATCGAGACTTTGTTAACCAAACTTATATGCAAAACAAAACTGCCGAAATTGAAATTTTCCGCTCCGCTACAAATTTTACATTTTATCTTGATATGTTGATGTTGTTTTGTCGTACAAACACCTTTGTACAAACCGTCTTGTACACTCCACCCTTACCCCTGTTACCACATCCACCCACCTTCTTGGACAACTGTCTGTATAAAAGACCATATTATACGTATTTGATTTATTATATTTTATACATATCAAAAGGGGTGTATGCCGCACATTCGTGTTTTAGGCCAGTATGGTCTTGTGCATACATCCCGTCTTCGGTATTGATAATTACTAACTTACTTTACTAACTCACGCTGCGTACTTGTTTTTTATTGTTTTGTATTCAGTGATGCGTATATAAACCACCAGATGTCGCTAATAAGCTATATATTCCGGATGAATCATAATGGTTGTTCCTGTTGTCTAATCTAATCTATTTCAAATTTATTGTTGTGTTGTTTTCCCATGATTGCGTAATTTATAGTTATTTTTATCAGATTGCTTCATTGCTATATTTTCTGCTATATATTACAGCATTTCGTATCGCTGACTGGATGACTCACTGAGTCTTTCGCGATCCCACGTTAATTGCTATGAATCGTTTTATCCCGTTTTTGGTTTGCTATGTTTTTCTTTTGATTTATTGATTCTTGCATGACGAAAATAAATATCTGAATCTGAATCTTTTATATTGCTTTTACGAGACGAATAATCATACATACGTTTCCAGAATCACCGCTCCCGCCTCCAACTGAAGTCTCACAAGCATTGTATCCGTTTGGTCGAACCCTCACTCAGGATACTGCTATTGTTATGTGGATAGGACCAGAAGAAGCTACCGCCTATGATGTCGTTATCTTGAAGTATGTGACTGTTTTTGTGTTATCGGACACGAAATGGACCTGTAGATCGTTTTTGTATTATGTTGCTGTTAGAATTCTTTTTCTTTTTTTAAAAATTTCTGTGAGCTCTATTGAATTCGTACCAATACTGAAAAATATTACATCTGCTACTTCGCGTTGGCTTTCGTGTCCATATATTTGAGCATTGATCTCTTGTTTTTATCGTGTATGTGTGTGTATTAATAAGGTACATATATGGTTTTTTTTAACAATGGAAGTTGGCGCAAACTTTCTAAATGCCCGAAGAAAAAATCTGTGAAAGATAAATATTCAAACTTTCTGATCGCCCAAAAAGCTATAACTTTTATTATTTTCAAGTTTTATCTACCTATCACAGACCCAATATTTCACTCCAAATTTTGCTGGTTTTTATAACTCACGGACACAATTTATATGTCATTCGGTACAATTTTTTGAACATTAATAGGACATTCGGTGTAATTCTTTAATATTTCGATGGTCCTATTACCAGTGACGTATCTAGGGTATGGCAGCCATGGCTGATGTCGTTGGCGTCGTTCTGAAAAAAATGCGAAAGTGCCCAGTAGTATTCGGAAAAAATGCGCTGATAGTGAACACCGGAGCCAAACATTTTTAAATCCGGATAGCCCATATAAAATACGACTTCATTTTCTAGAGCTGAGAACAAAGAACTCATTCTTCACGAAGAAATTGATAACGTCCACGACGAACGAGTAAAGTTTGAGGATTTGGATCCGTCAACACATTACGAAGTCATTGTTCGATCGGTGAGAGTCATTTTAAACGGAACCACTGATAGAAGCGTAGAAAGCAAACCATATCGATTCAGAACACGTAAGTCTTTAGTATTATGGGAAATCTCCAAACATCTCGTCAGAAAACTAAACAATAACTACTATCTCAAACGACCACTTCATTTACTATGAGATACGTGCTTGAGCATTTATTGCCTAAAATCGAAACTTTTTGTCGTCTGTTTGGCAGCTCTTTGTCCCAGGAGAGAAGGCCGTTCATATAATGATCTATATACCTTCCACCCGTAGTAAACAAAAGCATAGAAGAAGGATAAGTAATTAGTCCCACAGAAACCAAATCATTAGCGCAAAGTAATAGAAAGTGATTACCTTTTTCACTATATTTGGTTGTATATAACTCAGCACAATGGCCCTCTTTGGATGAAGCTATTCAATTGGCGATTTGAACCCTGTATCTATTTTGGAAAGTTTCAAATCCCCATGTTTTATTGGAATTTTGTGGCATTTGCAGTGGGACATAAATTCTTACATCTTTTACTCTATTCTTGGCAGTTTTATTGAAAACTGAATTTTCCTAGCTTGCTATCAATATTCCTTTCACCAAATGAACCAACCGAGATAAAGCAAAATGCGTGTTTATACACCTTAAATAACTTCGACAGTAAGTTTGTATAGGTGTCTTCAAGATATCGTTGGCTGTTTTTATTTAGTCTTGTTTAAGCAAAAGTCACAATAAGCGTCGTATTACGTTATTATACAAAAAGATTTGCCCCTTCTCCCGACATTTTGGGCTGGCTACGCTTCTGGAAGGATCGGGATCTTTCCTGTTCAGCATTGCCACCCAATTTATTGCACCCTGTGCCACGACCATGCCATTGCGACATGTTAATTTCCATTCTAACTTGACAGTTGATCCATGCAAAGGCGGAATGATCCACACCCCTTGCAACGCACACTGTATTGCATCATGTGAAAAGCAAAAGCCAATCTGCGATAGAAGATGTGTATCTGGGTGTGCTTGCCCAAGAGAAAATCCGTTTCTGCATAACGGGAAATGCATAACAAAGAAAGATTGTAATAGTGAGTATGAATCAGAATATATGATTTAAATTTTAGTTTTGGAAAAAAAATATCTGAGGTATAAAGCAAACCATGATAAAATTGATAATTCGCAAATGTGTGACATATGGTTTTGGCTTTCTATGAAAGATTACTACTTTTTTAGTATCGGAATAACAGTAATTTGCAATAATGCTATTATCGAGGATATTTTTGGGCCCAAACACAGAAGAATTCAATTTTGTCCCGATTTCCAGCAACCTAGCCGATGTGTAAAACGGTATACACTATTTTGATAGTCCGACTAGTGATGTTGGCTGTGCGTGGTTTTGCGCTGTGCAGCGCGATCTAATCAATAAACAGCTATTTTTTCTGCTTCCAAAGACATCAAAATTCAATTTGTGGCGATTTCAGCGCCCTAATCTACATAATTAGATTAACCGTATAATTACAGTAATATAAACATTTTTATTTTCGTTAGCTGCTGGAGCTCCGGTAACCGAAGTCCTGTCGCGGCCGGAAGATCTAAAGGTTCACAGAATGAAGGATTCCAACGACGTACTGTTTACTTGGTCTGCTGTAGAAGGCGCCGATTTCTACACAGTTACTGTAAGTATTTATCATAGTCACATAACCGCAGACCTAAATCCGATTGGATTTAATTTATTGACCTTTTCTCTCGATAAACCGCGGACAAAGTACAAGGAGTCGAGTCATGACGCCTTGATTTTTCAGAGTACATAACTGCAATTTTCTGAACAAAACTTCGCTTAACTTGGACTAATCGGGGTTATAACTTTACAGAAATACCCTGGAAGGATTTTAAGGCAAACAATGCTGTCTTGCTTTGGAAATACGTTATATATCAGATTGTGACTGTTTTGTGTTGACTGTTGAGATCTATTGTAGAGATCTGGGACAATCTGACACTTTGCAAATAACCAACTTGGAATCTCTCAAAGTTTGAGAAAGAAAATGTCATGTTTACTGGTTTTTGTAGATTTCGCGGATGGGCATGAGACTGGGAAATCTGCTTTAGAGTTATATCAGAAAGATTGAATAGCATACATATTGGTTTAGGTAGTGTGCTCACGCCTTCTCATTACCGCAAACCCAAATCTATGATCGAATTTAATGTACTGAGTCTTTCTCGTTAATCTGTGGACGACGTACGAGTCTAGTGACGGATTCCTGATTTTTTTAGAACACTATACTACATTAAACGGACAAAACTGCTATCTTAGTTGCTCAAAATTGCATCTACTTTTATAAATATATATATCTGTTTAGATTTGTCAGTTTTTAAAGCTTCTATATTGCTCTATTTCTTTGCCTATACCTATATGATAGCGGATCGGCATGCACCGACTGAGTAAGCATACTGTATAGCAAAAATCGAAACGGCTATATCGAATGGTTGAAAAGTGTTAATTCGTACCAACTTAAAATCTCTAAAGTTTTACTAACATATACACATTGATTTGCATTGGATTTGAGTTTGATGGAGTACTAAGATAAATCCGATTTTCGACTGTGTCAATCGCTGACCTAAAATCTCTTAAAGATAGAGAGGCATACACGTTGATTTTTGTAGTCTTTTTATCGAATAAGATGTGCACAATTATGTGCCCCGGTAACAATTCATTACAATTAAATTCGCCCGCATTTATGACAAAAACGCTAGCCGGTTCATAAAACCGTAAGTCAACTTTACAATTTTGATAAGCCGATACTGATACATTTTACTTTTAATTAACAGGTAACACTTCGAAATGGGGAAGTTGTGAAGAAAATAGACAATATAAAGATTCCATTTGTTATTATACCTGGACTCAAACCGAAAACACCATACAGATTCAAAGTTGTGGCGAAATATATCAAGTTTTCTGGGGCAAGGACGATTGGGATCGGGCCTATGCCCACACCTAATCCTCCTACGATAACACAAGTCTCCGAGAATAGCTTCTACGTCTCTTGGTTGGAATTCCCTATGGCTAAGGTAAATTATTGGACGCGAAATGTAAATAGGCATCTTTATGCCGAATTCTTGTTATTGTTGCTTTTTTCCGCAACTAGCGAACCAATCAACTTGAAATTTTCGGTACCTATGGTTCGTTCCCGTTATTTATTCTTCGAATGAAAAACTAGAATATCGATCGGAGACCGAAGAGTTATCTATCGAAAGTTAGGAGATCCCCCAAAACAGAAACTGCGGTTTCGATTTATCCGCTCTTACTCCATAGCGACACCGTGTGTCCCATCACGAATTAACTAATAACTCGCTAATTATACGACATAATTGTCTGTCAGATTCAACCTCGCTTTCGTGAGATATTGCGTGCATCCAACAGACAGACAGACAAATACCTATCAACATACTTACCGATCCCAAGATCGATAAGTAACTAGATTAGATCAATTACATTCAGATTCCATAATGAGAAAGTCTCCCGCGAAGCTGAAAGTAGCAGACAATTTTTTTATTCTCATTTGCTCTTGGTGCCCTGACGATCATATTTTCACCCAAATGTTTGCCATTTTTTTAATTGAGTAGATTTTACCGCCGGTGATTTCAATAAGGTGAATTTTGAGTAGGACCGGTTTTAACTATTATGGGCCCCTACGCCAAACGGTTTACGCGGGACGTAGACTATAGGTTAAATTTACGGATAGTGGCCTAAAAATAACATTTTTTGTAAGTTCAACTTCACATTTTATTACCTTTTAATCAAGCACAAATTCACGAATAAAGTAACCTTATAATACGAGTCTTACATATACAGAACAGACACGCTAACATATACATGATTATAATTTACATCTAGCATGGGTAGGCTTACCATACGTCCCGTTTTAAGTGAGACAATCCCACATTTCAACGTCTTGTCCCGGTGTCCCGACCGGTCAGTTAAAAGTGCCGCTTTGGCGTCCAGCCAGTCAGCATAATACACCAACGCTGTGTATCGTACCGATAGCCTACTTACTGAAGTGGATGCGTGGTTTTGTTTGTTTTTAACTGCTACAATTTGTTACGTGTAAATAAGCCCCGTACGCAAAAAGGGTGCTTTAACGTTAAAAAAATTCCTGTCTATCTTTCGAACCGAGACCGATATTAAGACAGATAGCGCATGGACTCTCGATAGCAATATGGCCAATGAAGCCGGGGTTTTAAATGTAGGTGTGAATTCGGTAAATTTGAAGATGAATCACAGCTATGGTCTCTGGAGGCGTCCCGCTTTGAGGTCACAAAAATATGGTAACCCTAAGGTGCCCAACAGCACCGCAACTTCGAGACCATGTCACGTTTAAAATACGCCGAGGTGGAAATGGTTTATCCAATTTTTATTCTTGATCTCACAAATCGTTTGTTAATTTTTTCCAGTCCTACAAAGTCGTCTTATACGATCCTGAAAACGATGGCGAAATGATACGAGTGTTCAAAGATATGACAGAAACTTTCGTAACGATACAAGGTTGTATTTTCAAATTTCAATAAACAAATATTTTAGATAAAATAATTAATTTTCAACTCCGCCATGGCACAACAATTATAATACATCAGATTAACACGAAGGAGGGAAATTTAATACGTGGTTTAATTATATATAATATCAAATAAGCTGTATAAACAGCGCCGTAAAAGAGTAACGGTTTGTGTTATGAATAAAGTTAAAGTTCCAAACCTATGATTAAATCAACTTGTTTATATTCTAGGACTGTCGTCAGGGACAACATACGATGTCTCTATTATTGCTGTGACCTTGATAGGAACCGAACCCGAGTCTCCCAAATCAACGGTGAAAACTATGGGAGAAAAAACATCAGAAGAAGAAATAAACGAACTAGACTACGAGATCATACCGATCGTAACCACCACGGTTGCTACGACAACAACCAAACCACTTATTCCATCGTAAGTTTGTTTTATAAGCTATTTGATTTGCCCGTAACGTAACAAGGCTCTAGAACAGGGGTCGGCTACCTACGGCCCGCGGAGCAATATAATTCGGCCCGCGACGCTTCACTGAATTATAGTAACAAATTATAGCTGTTTTGTCGATTATATTCTTAACGCCACTAAATTTACGTGTAGACTAAATTATATTATAACGTAACAAGTATATAATTCACAATTACTCGTTTAATGAGCCTATAATTTAATTATAATTGAGACAAATGGCAACAAAACGCAGAAAAGTTGATGCTAAGTGCAAATGGTTTAATGGCGCAAAAAATATTTAAATGTTCAGTCTTCGCGCGCTGCTTAAAATTTAACTTCTGATATATATGTGTGATAAAATGTGATTCATCGGTCATCCATTCGATTTTTAACTTTCTAAAAATTTGACTTGCAACATTTAATTTTGGCCCGCGAGCGACAAAAGGTTGCTGACCTCTGCTCTGAAGCAACAAGCAGTATAGAAAACTAAATTGTGATATCACATAATCGAAGCGATTCACGAAGAGGGAACATGACTGTAATAGATGGCATTTACTGATTGTAATATTCAACCCCCTGGGTGCGCCCCAGTCCCGAGTGAAGAAGTGCTGATCTTCTACCGTTAATGAACTACATATTTAAGGTTGTAAGAGTGTATATCAGGGATCGGCAACCTTTTGATGCCCGCATATTTTTAGAAAGGTAAAAACCGATGATGAATAACAAATTTTTCACACAGATCAGAAGTTAAAATTTTAGATTTTAAATAGCGCGGGAAGACTGCGTCAACATGTGAAATCACAAATGGCACATAATATGACACTTGATAGCTTTTCGACATCAGGCGGAACAGTGGATGAAGCTAAAATTAGAACGTTTTCTAAATGGGCATCACTCATCCGAGTTTTCAGATTGTTCTTTGTAATGTTCATTTTCGAAAATAATTATTCGCACGCATATGTACTTTGAAACATCGATGTGATTTTTTCGGCATGTTTGTCAAATTTCGATGGAGATTTCCCTCAGAAAGATACTTATTATAAAAATCAAGCAGTGGTGATACATCTCTCGAATAGAATATGAATTTTATTTTCTCATTGAATTGCATCTCAAAAAGCTCTATTCGAATATTTTCTGCGTGTTGCTATTTGTCTAATTATAATTAAATTGTACGCTCGTTAAACGAGTAGATGTTCAATAAATTGTTAGGTTATAGTACAATTTAGTCTACACGTGTCTCACAATAAATTCTGTTACGTAAAGAATGTAATCAACTCCTCGAGCGTGGATTATAAAATTAATTCATCGTCAAAACCGCCGTTTTGTCGCTATTATTCAGCGAAGCGTCGCGGACCGGATTATTTTACTTTGCGGGTCGGATCTGCAATTTGCCGACCCCTGGTGTATATTATCAGTAGATAAAAAGTATTCCGCATCGATCCGCATCATAGCACCAAGTTCAAATCAACATCTTGCGCAAGATATTCAACACTAAAAGAACAGATCCTAAATCAGGATTAACAAATTCGATATCCAATTGCACTTTTGGCATCCGAGCAATAGATTAATAAAAACGTATGAATTCACGACCATTGAATTCACTGAAAGCATTGCGGTGATTTGCGGCAGAAGTTTCAGAAGCTTTGGCTATAGATAAATTACGTTATTATTTTGATGGGTTGTGATAAGTCTAGTTGGAAACCATATGTAATCTTTACGGTCATCCGCGCAGGAAGTTTAAAAACCAAAAAGGTGAGTAAGCAGTCCTGCAGAAACCAAATCCTTAGCGTTTGTGTAATGAAGTCAGATTTTTCTCAAATAATCCACTGATAATTCGTGCTAGGCGTACTAATATTTTCAGAGAGATATATTAAAAAATAACTCTTAATATCTTGCTCTCAGATGTGAGGAAAGAAGATCAGCACTCGAAGCCTTTTACGAAACCCATCAAGGAGAAAAAGAACCAATGCCTGATTGTGCCAAAGACGGAAAATACAAGGCTATGCAATGCCCCAAACGATGTTATTGTGTCGACAGGACCACCGGAACCAAATTTCCGGGGACTGACTTTGATGATGAGAAGGCAGCGCATGCACTGGATTGTCATAAATGTGAGTATGTAAATGTGTAGAGTTGATCGTTCAGTTTACTATAAGTGAGGTTTCCAGAGAAGAAAGCCAAAAATATAGAAGGTGATAAAATAGTTTTTTTCCAAGTATATTTATTATCATAAATACCGTAAGACAAAACGAAGACATTGCTTTAACACTGACATGGGCAAACTACAGCCCGTGGGCCAAATCCGGCATGTTGGATAATTCAACATGATGCTGCCACCACCAAACCAAATTTTGATGTTTAGCTGAAAATTAGCTCAAGGAATTTGTGGAAATTGCGATTTAATTAATTTAGTTTTGGTACGAGACTTATTGTTTTTCACTTTTGCTTTTGTAACACTATAAATATTGTTCATAAAATTTAACCTTTTACGTCACACATACATAGCCCGCCGGTGTGGGTGGCCGGGTGGGCAACATTTTTGGCCCCGTGTCCATAAACCTTGCCAACCCCTACTCTAACACAGGGGTCACCAAACTACGGCCCGCGGGCCGGATCCGGCCCGCGGCGTCATTTTATCCGGCCCGCAATAACACGCAAAAATGGCTTAATTTTTTTCCAAGGAAGATTTCCCCGAGCATCGTCTTCCTTGTTTATTTCGTAACATTGACCAATCAGCAAGATGCAAAAAAAACGTGACGTAATAAAAAGCCTCTTCGCATCTCAGCTCTGATAACTTTTGTCATCCTGACACATTTCCAGTCGTGGTTGTAAACAATACTTTGTTTTTGCGACTTTGAATGCTATTCGTTAGTTTTTGATTGTGTTGCGGAAATTTAAGTATGAATCAAATAAGTCAACTATCATTTGCATCCTTAGGAGTTGTAGTTTTAATAGTAGTAATAAAAAATTAGTCTAGAAATAGCTGTGAAAAAATAGGCTAAAATTCTCTACCGGTAAGCAACGTTTTCTGCGAAAGATGCACTTGTATACTAGTGGCGCGTGCTTTCGACGAAACTGTTTACGTTTCTTGTGCTAAAATAAATGTTGAATGTGCATTTTGCGCTAACAGTACTATAATCCTTCGCGTACTGCTCCAATTTCATAAGACACACTAACTTTTGTACTGCTCAAATGCGGATATTCATGTAGTATGTTACAAAAAAAATTAAAGTTCATCCGATTTAAATAAAAACTGCGCCAGTGGATAGATCTGAGTGAAAATAGAAAACAGTACCAAGTTTATAAAAAACGGTCAAGAAATAACCGAGATATCGGAATTTTAGTACCGCCCGACAGGGCAATTATTTTCATAAGGATTGTATTACTTTTTTGATAAGAACTGTAATAAATATGAAAAAATAACACATGTCAATCACTAATATTGAGACTATTTCGGGATTTTATTCTGGCAACGGTCATTGACACCGCCGAAAGATCGTCGCAAATAAACGCTGGAGTTGTGCATGATAGTTTAATTTGCACTACGTATAAAAGGGGGGAGGCGGAATTTTTAAAAGCGTCGAAAGCTGAGAAATGTATGCGCTAATGAAAAAAATCAAATACCAGCTATGTTGTTTATTTTATCTAAATTATGTCCAAATTTCATGGAATTCCAAGCTACAGCAGGCATTCCGTAGTCGTTTTTAGCAGTAGCAGTATTCCAACACGGCGTAACAGTACTTAGCAGACGTGAAGCGTACATTATTTTGGCGCGAAATAGTCGGTTTTGTAACATTCCTAATTCATGACAGCAACGTTTTGATAACAGCTAAACTCAGGATAGTTGTCTAGATATAGAAATCTTGTATATTTGTTTTCCTATGATGTTTTTGATCCATATTCTGCGATATAGATAGAATTAAATATTCAAGTCTTCAGAAATGTAGAATATATTCTGTTAAATAAATTGGATGAATTTCCCAACTTTTGTGAATTTATTTTATTGCATTGACAAAAATATTCATCCGGCCCGTTTCAACCCAGTTTGAGTCATACCCGGCCCGCGGTCAAAAAAGTTTGGTGACCCCTGCTCTAACATAAGGACAGTATTACAGCATTGACTGTGATTCACCGATATATCTAGATTAGGATACAGAACGATCGTCCGTTCCATGCAACTACATCATAGTTCATTAAGTCCTAACTAGGGCCGGGCATTTCGAATCGAAAATTATTCGAATCGATTCAAACGAAAATTTCGAATTGCCGCCATCTTGTTTTTTTATTCGGCCGCTAAAGGGCGGGGTAAATTCCCCATTTTTTTTTTCAATGAATCTATATTTTTACAACGGTATTCTGACACATGATTTCTAGTGATTTATTGATGAAACACGTTTTTTATTGTATGTGAACGCTCAGGAACTGACTGAGTGTTAATTCCACGAAGGATGCTATAGCGAGAATAAACAGACCGTACTATGAAATTCAAGAAACCTGCTTCACACTAACACAAATTTATTTCTGTATCGTTTGTTGTAAACTGCTTGTCTGAGGAAGTCTGATTTTGGTCAGACGAAATGATACAAAAATAAATTTGTGTTTGCTTGCAGCAGAACTCTTGAATTGCATAGTATCTTTCAAGTGTTCAAAATTTGAATCGAAAAAAATATTCGATTCTGAAATCCTCAGGTATTCGAAAATGCCCAGCTCTAGTCTTAACCCGTAGTAAGACGCCAACCCTGCAGATGACTAAAGGTCATTCGAAAACACTATGATCATATATGGCAGTGTTTTTCAAACTGGTTCGTTCATCTGTAATTGTGAACCACTATTGGGAGGGCTGCCATAACGACCTTATTTCTAAGATTTGTCCTTAATCTGAAGGTCTTTGTCATAGAAAATATTTTTGTTTTTATTTCTAAGAAACGTCGTAATTTGACATGTGTCCTCATTTTTGTGTCATTTTGGTTAGAGGTTCTTATACCGGGAACTTGAATTGATCAATTCCAATGTTTGATATGCTAGAAATGATATTAGACCTTCATTGATTGCCACGCGCATTCATGACATAATAACAGCAAGCTATGACAAAACAATAGCCTACAGGCAAAGATCAGTTCGTGTAACTGGAATCAAAATACAACCTTTTTTGGGGTTTATATCGATGGTAGCCCTGACTAAAGGAGACTTGTTTTCAATTATATGAGAACGTAAATCTAATTATTATAATTCAGATGGTCGATGGGACATCGAACTGAATGATGTGACAGCCTCAGCCGTGGATACAAAAACTATAAGGGTGAAATGGCAGAAGAATCAACAAGCGAAGTTCTATATTGTCAAAGTCTACGAAGGATTCAGCAGTGCTCTTGTTAAATTTGTGACTGGTATTACAAGAGCAACCACCCCGATTGATGGTCTTAAACGAGGACAATCGTACGTTGTAACAGGTAAGACCGCGAGTCGTTATGACCAGTAGTGGGATTCAATTTTTTTGACAGCCGGTTCCATCACAGAAGTCATATTTCTCACCCGGTTCTGTAGTCATTGACAGTAACCGGTAATGCTAACCGGTTTGCTGATCTCATAAAATTCCGTGAGACGGTTCTAAAGAGCCGGTGCGAACCGGCTGAATCCCACCACTGGTTATGACCATGTAAAGTAGTAATACTCAGTAATCAGCAGTTAATTTCCCATCATACTGAAAAATATAATGTAGAAAATAACGTGAAATGGCATTTCAGGGTTAAGGAGACATGGAAAGTTTTTAAATCGAATCTTGAGTCACTCTAAGGGCATACAAAATCTACTGCTAACTATAGCCAACTTGATCCCAAACGTACACCCCCATTTTTAATAGTATATGATTTTTAGTACCTTATTAAGAGCTACCCATTCTATCCTTCCTCGCATATTTGTTGTTTAATCTTATTTACTATTATTCCTTTCTTAAACCTCGATCTATTTTCAGTAATCGCCGTGAATGCCGAAGGCGTATCATCTACAGATAAAGTGAGAGGTGAATTTGTAGTAATGCCGTATCTGGACCCACCGAAGATTGTCAAACTGTCACAGCTCAATGATAGCAAGTACGTATAACGGATAAGTCTAGTTCAGTGGTTCCCACCCTTTTTTCAATCAACCAAAATTTGAAAAAAAATAAATTTCGTTAAATCTAGGTATCAATTGTTATATTCGCATACTAAACGTTATGAAGTGCTTTTTTGTGCGCAAAATTAAATGGCTACTACGAAACATGCATTTTTACTTCAACAGAAATTAATCCAATGTTGCTAGTGGGTAAGTTGCGCTTGTTTGCCATCAGCAAGTTTTTGAAAATGTGATGTGGGTTCACTTCAGCAAAATAGATGCTGCCAAGTGTAATGCTGTGACATTTCCCACGTATAACATTACGATACTACAATATCGTGATACAATATTAATAAATATAAAATAAACAATAAAATTTACTAGAATTTATTTTTGTCAGAAAAACAGGCGACCCAAGAAGATTTTCAGAGTACCCAGCTCTGGGTCGCAACTAGGGCTGGGCATTTCGAATCGAAAACTCGAATCGAATAGTAAATTATTCGAATCGCTTTAGAGCGAAATTTCGAATCGCCGCCATCTTTTTGTTTTCTCCGACGGGTGAATTCTCGGGTGAATTCTCCTTCATTGAAATCATATTTTTTCAACGCCCTTCTAACATATGACTATTTTCTGTAGTGAGTTATTGATAAAACGTGTTTGCTATTCTGTATGAACGCTCAGTAATCTATCTGAGTGATTTATTCTATGTCTTCAGTATTTCATTTGTTAAGAGGACCAATTACTATAAAAAAGTCGCTTACAAATATATATTTCCAAGTATTCGAGATTCGATTCGAAAAAAAATATTCGATTCGGTTTTGAAATCACAAGGTATTCGAAAATGCCCAGCCCTAGTCGCAACCCATAGGTTGAGAAACACTGGTCTAATTCATACACAGTAAAAGTGTATCGGCTCATGTTTGCGAAGGTTCCATTACATTTGAACCCACGACAATTGCACCTGCATGCCATTGCACCTATGGAATTTTTTTTGGTTTTACGGATATTTGTACCCATACTAACCTAACCCATGGGTTTTGGCACCCGAATATTGATTGAACCCGCGGATATACACATGGGTTCAAATGTACGGTCACCGTTTGCGAAAATATCGAGTCCTTATGATGATTTTAATCTTTGATAAATAATAAGCTATTGAGCTCGATACAAGGCTAAGTGTCGCTTAGCGCGCTATAAGTAATAAAAAAACTCAGTATGAGTCTTTTGTGTTGCTTTTTACGTTTTTTTTATTTTATTGGTATTATTTACAGTCATTCGCGCGCTGTTTGACCAAATGCAGCATCATTTCCAACCCAGGGAAAGCAATTGAGCCACCGCGTACGTGACATCTTGCTTGCGTACAATATTAGCACCCGCCATGTCTTACAAGACCAACTTTTATAACGCCAGCAACAAACAATTGGCAAATTTTGCTGGAGAGATTCCGAATTGTCTTAGGAATCTTTGTCAAAAGCCGTATAAATTTTAATATTGGGCGCTCGCTGTTCACTCACTTAAACTTTTGAATCACAATGGTCTGCATCATCCATTCTAGTTCTACATCTCCCCGATTCTACTAACAATCAGAATATTATAACTGTTAAATATTTCTATTACAATTAGAATGAAGGCGACATGGGAAAAGAACGGAGAAGCATTGCATTACAGAGTTGAAATTTTTGGAAACGGAGATAAAAAACCTCTCCTGACGTACGAAAACGTCACAGAAGACAATGTTATATTTGACATAGTAGGGCGCGATACATACAGAGTACGAGTGACGTCAACAGGGGTCACGACCATACCCGGAAGCGGAAGAGAAATTGCTGTTTCCAGTAATCATGCAGAAACAATGCGAAGGCCAAGCTGTATAGCATCTCCTATTGACATTATATATGTCCTAGATGGAACATCAAAAGTTAATTCCCAAGATTTCCTACAAATGAAGGAATTTTTCGTTGAATTAACGAAAAGTTTGGGACCAATAGGTACAGATATGAGCGACACGGAAGGAACACGAGTTGCAGTCGTGAGAACAGCCGAATCATCGCGGGCTATATTCAGATATCACAAGTAAGGTTTAAATTATCAATTCAAGCACAATAACATTAATATGTTGACGTCACTTTGCTATATGTACATTTTTGGATAATTATTGATACTTTGCCTCGACTTGTCCAACTTCTCTGCTTGGTACGCGGGACTTCACTTGGGTTCTTGTACCATTTTGAGATCTCTAAAAAAATGTTCCAGTAGCCACTAAAACGTCGAGAGCTATTGTTACCATGTAAATTTATAATGATGCATTGTGTGGGGCAACAAATGCCGTTTAAATAAGACATGAAGCAGTTCTAAAAAAAGTTGTACCAAAAAACAGCGATAAGGTATTTAATACTGCATAACTGAGATGAAGGTGTGATAACATCCATACTCGTAGAGAACGTCCCACTGAATAGTATAAATCTATATATATATACGTTTCATTCTCATTCAGTCTTAATTCTTGTCGGGCGAGTTTGATGAGGGAAGCAAGTCTACAAAATTTATGCTAAAATGATTCCATGTTATACGCTAAGCATTTCTTATTACGAAGTTAGCGACGTTAGGTTATACAAAAACATTTTATATTGTACTCGCAGTCCGCAGGTCTTATAATGTCCCAACGGCTTTAGAGGGAGGATGTATAAATTCATTGGACCACTATCCCTGCGCCCGAAAACGATATTATGATATCATTCGTTGCTATGACATCATTCTTTATTTATTTTTAATTTCTCAGTCACTTCCTGACAGACCCTACCCAGTGTAAGTCAACAGCAGTGGCGTATCTACGTAACAAGCGCCCTTTGACCGTTGATCGACAATTTTTAACGACAGTTGCTAAATTGAGATGCTTGTACATTATTATTTAAATAAAAATACGAGTTTCGATCATTTCCAATTTAAAATTATTTTATTAAAAACATTTTACGATCAAAACTTTTGGCGCTCTAGAAGTGTGTGTACTAATATTAAGGTAACTAATTTTGTTCGCCCACTTCACATCAAGATGTGTAAAGGGACTGAAACCTATGGGTAGGGGCTATACTCACTTGGCTAACACAGAACAGACACTACCTAAACTCGTAATAGAACAAAAATAAGAAAAATCGCAATAAAAGTTTGGCCTAACCTGGTACACACACTACAGGAGTACCAAACGTTTCGCCCCAAGTCCAAGTAACGGCGCCCATGGCACGAGCCAGAGTTGTAATACCATAAAGACGCCACTGGTCAACAGTATGTAACAACTATTTTTCTTGAACAATTTTGATTTTAATTGGTCCAAAGATAACTTATCATCATCAGCGACATTTTACAATAGGTTCAACACTATGACCAACCTAATTGGAGCAATAAGATTCGTAAGACAAACTCGATCGGGAAGACTAAATGTTGGTAAAATGCTTGAATACATTCATCAATGGTTCTTCGAATCAGTGAACAACGATGACCAGCGTAAAGACGTGAATACTGCTGTTGTCACCTTCATGGGAGGTAAGTGATGATTTATTCACTTTTTATGTTGATTTTTATAAATTCACTTAACGTAACAAAGTTGGATCTTTTGTAATAATTTTAAATAAGTAATTTTCCAGTTACAATTTTATTCATTGATGGAATTCAGCGATGTCAGAGTTAGCGAAGGCGCAATCACTTAAAACGTTCCGAGCGCAAAGGTGGTGGTTTATTCACGTTTCAAATGGATTTTTTATTTATAAATTTACTTAAGGCCATAAAGTCGGATCTTTCGTAGAAAACACCAGCGCAAAAAAAAATTCCACTGCTGAAAAATAAAAATTAGTTATTATCCAGTTAGCCCACAATTTTATTCATTGATGGAATTCACCACTGAATCGATGCGAGGGTTGGCGAACGCGCAATGGCTTAAAACGTGGTGAGCGCAATCTGTAGTAATTAATACGTGTCGGTGTTGTTTTCTATAAAGACCCACAAAGTCTCGGATTGATGCAGAAAAACTGCCTATAGGAGAGTTGTACTTGTGCTGCCGTGCTGAGACCTATACATAAGTTTACATCTTTGCAAAGGCAACGTGTATATATCGCCGATACCTTGAGCGACCAAATCGAACTAAATTAGTCTAGATAGGTGTAACGTCACCTTACCTTTGGTATCTCCAAACTTAGCCTATATTTAGGCTTACCATACGTCCCGCTTTAGGCGGGACAGTCCCGCTTCAGGCGCTAGCCTACTTACTGAAGGTGAATGCGTTCGTTTCCCGCTGATTCCCATTGATGGCAGACGTATCGCATGTAAAACCAATACTAATTAGTCTAAATTCGAATTATTTGTACCGGTATCGTTAACGTCAATTCCTTCCTATTTTTCGAACTGAACCCGATATTTGGACAGAGAATATGCGCATGAAATTTCGATAACAATATGGTCAATAAAGACAGCCGAGACAGCTTTGAATGTAGGAATGTAGGCCTATGTAGTAAAATCGGAAAATGTGAAGATACAAAATCACAGCTAAGGGGTCGTTGTCTTTCGAGGCATCCCGATTTGAAGTCACAAAAATATGGTATCCCTACCTATATTACAAGTCGAAAATACTAAAATGACACTTACTTGATATTTCGTGTAGAGGCCTCCTTGTATTCCTTGCACGTTTACTCAAATCTTAATTTCTAGGTGCATCGGACGAGAAAAACTTTGCAAAAATTGGAGCTGAACTACGTGGAAAAACTAATGTCATCAGCGTGGGAATCGAAAATCGAATTGGAGATTATGATATGACAATGGCGTCGCCTAAGAACATGAGAGTAAAGATACCGACGTACAACGACATTGACGAAGCCGTTGACAGAGTTATGGAGATTCTTTGCAACCTAAAATAAACTTTAATCCTCTCACATGATTTTTGAACCATGTTCCAGTAAAAAATAAATGACAAAAGGCACCACGCCGCTCTTTGATATTATTTTGCTATAAATACAATGCTACATTCGAAACAAAACTAGATCGTTTCGTGACTATTTTGTTTGTATGTTTGTTTATTTTAATTTTATTTTCAACCTTCAAGTTGTACATGAATGTACAACTTTGGTCCACGGCTCAAATACGGCCTTCAAAATTATTGGACGGCTCATAGAGTCATTTTAGTGGTTTTCTATCATGCATATTATGGAATAATGTAATAAATATTTTATGGATATATATCGAAGATATTTGCCCATTAATAAATGTTGTCCGTATATAATTGATATCGTTAACAGACTATAACATAAATATGGAATACAGTTGGTGTCAAGCTGAAATGTAGAATAGATTTCAGTGTTTAGGTACACATTGGCAAAACAACATAGTCCCAAACAATTTAGGAAAGGTAAAACAGCTATCGTAGGAGAGTTTATTTCATTTCGTCTAACCAAGAAAACAATATTTGTATACATATATAAGCATCAAATTAACAGATGCTTCCGGTATATGACTGGGAGCCGGGAGGCGACGATACGACCTTTAGGGGTCATCGGAGTCAGTTGCCACCAAAGGGGGTTACTATTTTTTGTTATGAGAATATGCTGCAAACGGGGCATCCTGAATACTATCATTGTATAGTAGCTTTAAGTCTAAAGCTCTAAGCGACCAAAAGCTACACCCGATGTAGTGGTTCACAGGAAATGTCACTGGATACCAGTTGGTACAAGACTGGAGGATATTAAAAGATTTACGTATTTATCCTGGGGAGAGGATGCCGATAAGACAACTTGATCATATGGCGAACCACGGCCTGTCGTCCAGTGACCAGTTCATACTGGGATTAGTTAGTTAATCAGTTGTTTGTTTTCAGAGCCATAGACTTGATGATGGGGGAAGGGTAACCGACCAGCCATTACGTGAACCACTCTATGACGTCGAGGAGTCCAGCAATTCTTTCTCACATAATTAATACCGCATGGGATTCGAACCTGCGAACCCACGCAGGGTGCGGAAGGAAGGAAGTGCGGTGGCGAGCGTATTCCTAACGCTAAGCGCGATCAAGCTGGTAGGTAAATGGGCTGAAAACGCGAATTTAGAATATATTTGAAAGAAAAAAAATGATACGCTATGCTTCCTAGTTGTCACAGAACACGTCGATTCAAAATGAACCTACTGCTATATTTGCACAATGTAACAAAAAGAAACCATAAGGTTAAAACCAATAATCGACACCAATTTTGAAATATCTTCTTCTGAATTAAGAAAGGCATGTTGAGTTTTATTTATTTCTGACGAGCTATTCAGGATGGCCTGGGTTGATCGGGCTATTCAGGATGGTCTGGAAATATGACCAGGAAATGAATAAAATTTGAAAACCGAAAAGGGAAGAATATTCTTCTTTTTTATTGCAGGTGGTTTTCTAAATATACGAGCTTGATGTGGTCTTATCCCAGGGCATCGGTCAATATCAAAAGTTCTAGATTCTAGAACGGACATGGGCAAACTATGCCTGTGGGCCAAATCCGGTGCGTTGGGTAAATCAATTTGGCCCGCCCGATGCTGCCCCAACCAAAGTAAAACCAAAGTTTCGGCTAAAAACATAGCCCAAGAAATTGGTTGAAATTGCGATTAAATTTAGTTTCAGCACGAGGCTTATTGTTTTCCACTTTTGCTTTTGTAACATTGTAAATATTGTTCATAAAATGTAACTATTTACGTCCCACTTACATGGCCCGCCAGTCTAGGTCAAAACTAGAGCCAATCGTTGAACTTTATTTTGTTCAATGTTTTAGTACACCAATGCTAGTATAGGGGCTCTTGACCCATTCTGCGTGTCCACACTCTCGTGTTATTGAACACACGTTAACAGAGTGTAACTCCGATCTGAACTCCTTCTTCAGAGGTCAATAAGCACACGATGTATTGAGTGCCAATGTTGTTATATTGTAAAGATGCACAATTGAATTGATCCCAAGAACAGATAACAAATTTAAACACCTAAGTCCTAAAGCCTTAATGCAGTTATGTGATGAAACCAAATTTCTAACTAACAAAAAACATTAAAAACAAGCAACACTGAGCGAGGGAAATAAATCATAAAGGAAATGAATTAGAGCAACGACCTTGTTTCAGACGAATAACATGCACTATTAACAATGCGTGGTGAAATATTGAAACAAACAGTAACTATCCTTATGTACTCGCTACACTAGCTTTTCGTCGGTGTGTTCAGCGCATCGTTTTGGCACAGTTGGATACTAACCAATTTATACATAATGAGTAATACACGCTAATTCAGATATGAGCAATACAAACGAAATACACAATCATTATAATTCCAACGTCCAGTTTGGTTTTTAAGTGATGATCAACGAGTAACGACGCAGATTTTCTCGGCCATGCGCAAATGGAGTGACCACTCGACACATTGCCGACGCACGTACGTTTTTATGCGCAATGACGTTTCTTGACGTAAATCGTTGCGGTACATTCCAGTGCGTATCACGTCAAAACAAAGTTTGGTTTGCCAGCGCTCGTCTTATATCGTGACTGAATCTTTTCAGAAATGTAGGAAATATAAATGTGTTGATTAATCTTATTGATCAACCTATTTCATGCCATGAAACGTGCTGCGTTTAACTGGTTAGCAAGCCCTGAAGCCTAGTTATCATGATTATACTGTTATAACTTTATGCAGTTATGAGAAAGCGTTTCACAGTTGAATTTGGCCTAGTCTGTCTGTCTGTTAGTGAATACTGTATGTCAGTGAAATAGGACAGTCAGCCACAATACAACAATATCTAAGTGTCACGATACCGGTATTGCCTATATCACAGGGCTGACGGCTAACTCGCCATGAGGGCTAACTCGCCATGGACCACTCGCCATGCGACGGCGGTTAACGGGTTAGCATGCAACTGTGCGGAGGCTCTTCTTGTAATGGGAGATGGAAAGGTGGCTGTTTATACTAACAACTTCAATAGTAAGGATAAATATATTAAATTAAATGTGTTTGGTTACAATACCTACTGTGCAAATGGTAACAAAGTGACAAGAAAACGGGCTTATATGTCGGAAGGCATACCGGTACCGTACGGTACTCGACGCGCAAAAGATGTCTCAACTTATCATTTTCATTTAAGCATGCTAAATATATCATCATATTAATTGATTGTATGAGCTCTGAATCAACAACAACGCTAAATATATCAAAAGTTCTATTTTGCTACCGGCAGTCTCATTTTATTCTAACAGCCGTTGATTGCGAGCAGAGAGGGAGAGAGAGAGCTAACTCGCCATGTCTATTTTCTTTATAATTGACGATCGACATCGCGAGTTCGAGAGAGAGAGAGAGAGAGGGCTAACTCGCCATGTCTTTATTCTTTATAATTGACCATCGACATCGCCATTTCGAGAGAGAGAGAGAGGGCTAACTCGCCATGTCTTTATTCTTTATAATTGACGATCGACATCGCGAGTTCGAGAGAGAGAGAGGGCTAACTCGCCATGTCTTTATTCTTTATAATTGACCATCGACATCGCGAGTTCGAGAGAGAGAGAGGGCTAACTCGCCATGTCTTTATTCTTTATAATTGACCATCGACATCGCCATTTCTCGAGAGAGAGAGAGGGCTAACTCGCCATGTCTTTATTCTTTATAATTGACGATCGACATCGCGAGTTCGAGAGAGAGAGAGGGCTAACTCGCCATGTCTTTATTCTTTATAATTGACGATCGACATCGCGAGTTCGAGAGAGAGAGGGCTAACTCGCCATGTCTTTATTCTTTATAATTGACGATCGACATCGCGAGTTCGAGAGAGAGAGAGGGCTAACTCGCCATGTCTTTATTCTTTATAATTGACGATCGACATCGCGAGTTCGAGAGAGAGAGGGCTAACTCGCCATGTCTATTTTCTATATAATTGTCGATTGCCCTGATGCCGGCTGATATTAGTGTAAAGCCAACTCACCACGACAAGGTTTCAGCCTTCGAGTCAGAATTTCTTTTTACCAGAAGAAACCCAAGCACAGATCAAGCCTTCTTGTTTGTTGGTGACTGTAGACATGCATTCGTTGCAGACATTAGTTGCATTCATCGTTGCTTTGAGTTTGAAAATCGTAGACAATCGAAGTCGTAATAGAAAATCGTAGAATCAGTTCAAGAACTGTGGTATTGTATCCGTTGATATTGCCACATTTATAGTGCTTGGCTATGGTAAGGCGTAAGACCGGAGATAAATTACGCTTAAGCTCAGTGATAATACTATCTGGGTCTATTATACGATCGTCAATTATAAAGAATGAAGACATGGCGAGTTAGCCCTCTCTCTCTCTCGAACTCGCGATGTCGATGGTCAATTATAAAGAATAAAGACATGGCGAGTTAGCCCTCTCTCTCTCTCGAACTCGCGATGTCGATGGTCAATTATAAAGAATAAAGACATGGCGAGTTAGCCCTCTCTCTCTCTCGAACTCGCGATGTCGATCGTCAATTATAAAGAATAAAGACATGGCGAGTTAGCCCTCTCTCTCTCTCTCGAAATGGCGATGTCGATGGTCAATTATAAAGAATAAAGACATGGCGAGTTAGCCCTCTCTCTCTCTCTCTCTCGAACTCGCGATGTCGATCGTCAATTATAAAGAAAATAGACATGGCGAGTTAGCTCTCTCTCTCCCTCTCTGCTCGCAATCAACGGCTGTTAGAATAAAATGAGACTGCCGGTAGCAAAATAGAACTTTTGATATATTTAGCGTTGTTGGTGATTCAGAGATCATACAATCAATTAATATGATGATATATTTAGCATGCTTAGATGAAAATGATAAGTTGAGACATCTATTGCGCGTCGAGTACCGTACGGTACCGGTATGCCTTCCGACATATAAGCACGTTTTCTTGTCACTTTGTTACCATTTGCACAGTAGGTATTGTAACCAAACACATTTAATTTAATATATTTATCCTTACTATTGAAGTTGTTAGTATAAACAGCCACCTTTCCATCTCCCATTACAAGAAGAGCCTCCACACAGTTGCAGGCTAACCCGTTAACCGCCGTCGCATGGCGAGTGGTCCATGGCGAGTTAGCCCTCATGGCGAGTTAGCCTCCACCCTATCACAGTACCGATATCTTGTACCGTATTGCCGTACCGTAACGTCCTCATTTCCAAGATTTGTCGTTATTTTGAAGATCTTTGTCAGTCTTACTGTCTTAGAAAATATTTTTATCCTTATTTCAAATAACTGATGAACGTCCTTATTTTGACATGTGTTCTTACATTTTGTCTTTTTTAGGGGTAGAGGTGCCAAGTAGGTTCTTTAGTTTGGTCTATTCAACTGAAATAAAAAACTGCTGGAGCAAATTCTTTCTAGTGCAAAGAAACATTTTGTTTATTACATTTCATTCTTCGTTATCTTATTATTGTTTTCCTTTTGTCCTTATTTTTGGGTTCATATCAATGGCAGCCCTGTGTCTGTGTGCAGTGGTGGGATTCAGACAGTTTGCACCGGTGTCTCACGGAATTTTATGAGATCAGCGAACTGGTTAGCATTAGATGACTTCTGTAACAGAACCGCCTGAAAATATGACATTTGTATGATGGAACCGGCTGACAAAAAATTTGAATCCCACCACTGTCTGTCAGTCTGTGTGTATTGCTAACGTCTGACAGTCTTGTTACCGTATGCAATGGGCTTTTATTATTCATCTGTTGTTTCTACGACCAGACAACTGATGCTGGTATGCTTGTGACTGAGTAATGAATCAAATCATATAGCTGTGGGCTAAATCTGAATTTGGTAACGCACTGTCAGACTGTAGTTAGGTATGTTGAGCTGATTAAGGATTATGTGCCAGGTAGTTTTTATATGCCAGGCATCATTTTCTCAATATATAATTTAGTATAATTTAATCTGTCTGAAAATTAAGAAATTAGTTTTCACAAATCGGGATTCTCCAAAGATCTCTGGATGTTGGCTGCAGTTTGGATATAGATAGCGTTTATTTACTTTGTCAACTGGAAAGATTAGACCTAGTTAAATTTGATATTTCCGACAAAGCACGAATATCAAAAAAAAATTCTGGAAATCGGACAAAATCTATAATAAATTTTAAAATGTAGTAGGCAAAATGCTCACACATACCAGATCATACACACAATTTTAATCATTGTGATCAGAATACATATTTCTTAAGCATTAGTCAATTTATTTTGGCAGGCATGTCTTTTCAGTAATTACTAAACTTGTGTTGTTTGGCAGATAAATGAATTTATTGGTAAGATTATTAGAATATCTGAATATAGGTTATTGTGATACTATATAATATCTTCCTATGTGTTCTGACTGCCGACTTACAGTATATTCTCACAACTCAACCTGACTTGAGATAGATACCGTACCTGTTGACATTCAACCATGTCTCGGCCTCGCATTGGTGCTGGAATCCACCCGATTCCTGCTACGAGGGATTTAAACCAGACCCCAACCCCACAGAATCCTCATCCCACGGATATGCTAACGGATATACGCTTGCAAAGATCGAGTCCGTCTATTGTACGACGACATTCAAAATCTTCAATTACAAGAGTGGATGGGGGATTTATTCTCGGACCTGGTCGGCCACCAATTGCAGGAAGAAAAAATGATGAACAAGTAAAGGTATAAGTTATTCATGTTGAGAATATATAAAGCACAAGCAGTGTTAGCCAAGTGATGTAATTTACTGCGTTTCGGCCAAGATATAATTCATTCCAGAGTTGACTAGGATGAAACTATATCTGACTATAAAATATAAAAACTAAAACTGGAAAGAGTACTTATAGCAAGCAAGCAATTACTGAAGTGATTATTGGGAAAGAATTACACCTTTATCCCGGGGGAGAGGAAAAACGATAAGACGGCCAGTATAGACCAGTAACCAGTCCATGTCCAAATAGCCAGTTACTCGTTCCCAGATGCATGGACTTGGCGGTAGAGGAAGAGGTAATCATCCAGCGGTTACATGAACCTCCCTGCGCAGGCGAGGAGTCCAGCAATCCTCTCTCACATAATTATCCGCCACAACCACAAGATTTGACCTTGCGTACCAAAACAGAGCTTATTCCTAACGCTTAGCACGGTGCGTCACACCGCAGGGCTTGGGTTTTTACGCATGGGTCGTTTCAGATACATGGGCCCATGTATATCTCAAACCAATGTATGTCTGAATTTGGATGCGAACTTTTGATCTTATTCAAAATTTAGAATTTGAACACAGATTCTTCATCGAATATAAAAAAAATGACCATACCAAATTCCTACTACAGATCCACAGCCTGGACACAAACGCTGGTTAAAACAACATAATATAAGAAGTAAACTTTTTGCTAAAGATAACTGAAGTGCAATTTCTTTATTTTCAGCCTAAGATTGAAACAACATTTGGACCAGCATATTCGGCAGTAACAACAATAACAACAGGTCAGTTATTATTGAAATAATTTTTAAAGAAGAAAAAATTTTCGTTTGCCAGAAATTTTGCTGACCAGAAAAATTGGTTTTATTTTCAAAGGGATCAATATTGTCTAGTCTAGTCTGATTATGCAGAGTCACAATAACATTGAAATGTGTAAAACATTGCAAAAGTGGGAAAACCTTATCTCAGCTGCATATAAATATAATTTCAAATTGTTATTTTTGCAAGTTATTGGTAGTACAAACCCTGTTTTCAATTCCTTGATTTCTCATCCCTTCACCTCATAGAAATTTAACAAATAAATTATGTATGCCAAGTCCAACTGTAGAAACTAGTTACTGCTTGTCTTATACTTTGTTTGGAGTATGCGGAGAAATCCTCTGAAATTACTACCATTATAAATGTTCAGATGAAGGAAATAAAGTGCAATATCAGCATAAAAGAACGTCATCAATGTCAAGCCACAGATCCCAGAATGATTCTGAAGATGTAAGATGCTTATGTAGTTTTGAAGTTTGATAATTCAATATTATTCTAAGACAGAGTTATTGTACAACTGCTCTGGACAGGAAGAAATTTTTGAGCGATGAAGTGCATCATTTGTTTATTACTAGCTGAACGTTTGCTATCAATAAGCCTGCTGGCAACCACACTCTCGTAATTTATTTGCTGATGTTTATAGTAGTTTTTTAAGTTTGATACACATTTAATAGTTGTAACAACTTTCATTAACAAGTCACAAAAAATTTCATTGGGTCTGTGGCATGGAATAAATAACTATCACAATTATAAGTTTGAAATGATATTTCAGTTCTTTTTTGTGTACATATTTCTATTTATTTGTCTTTATGATTCTTCCATACCTTGTTAAAAAAATTATGGCTCTTAAGAAAGAAAAAGTGCAATGAATTATTGGTGCTTGGTATTTTTTTTAATTTCATGTAAGATTTCATTCATTCAGTGTTGTCCTTTTCACCAGTATAAATGAACAAAAGTTTTTTCAACCTACAGAGACCTAAAATTTCAATACTCATTTTCAATCAGCAGTCAGAATGGAATTTTTCCTAACATATATTTTCTGCTTCTAGCTTCGAAGTACAAGCCATCATGGCAGTCTACCACGTAGTCATCATAGCGAATCCGCATTCTCAAGGCCGTCTCGTACTGGGTCTGCATTGTCTTCCACGTCTACCCTGTCAGGGACTTCCTACAGGTCACCAGCGTCGGATGAAGAGGTAAGTCTAAGTCTATTAGAAAAAAGTCCTCATACTTGACACCTAGGGCAGGGGTTCCCAAACCAGGGGTCGCGACCCCAAATTGGGTCGGAGTGATAAGTAGGTAGGGTCGAAAACAGGTCATGGGGTCGCTGGGGTATGGTAGAGGATGGATTTAAAAAACATCTAAGATTTGACAAATCATGTTAAATTTAGCAGTTTGTACCATGGCTTACTGTAAAACAGGCCCAAAGGCATCACTCTATGCTTAAGCTATAGAAAATGTAGGTGTACATTGTGACATCACTGTTTGGTTTTAGCTTATTTTACTTAATACCACTACATGACCAGTGAAAGAAGCTCTAAAGTTTCATGAAAAATATATATATTGACCTGGGGTCGCACTGGACGCTTGGAAGTTGTCTTTGGGGTCGTCCTGAAAAAAGCTTGGGAACCCCTGACCTAGGGTGTAGTAAATTTAAATTGCGAAGGCAATAAAAAATAAAAAAGATTCCAGTTCTTTCAAAATACGTATTACATTAATTAGTACCTAATTCAATATTTCTCGTTTGAAAAAATATTTTACTGTAGAATTTGCTATTGAACTATTGCTATTTACTATTGAATTTCGTTATCTTGATAAACGAATAATGATTGGCCGTCTGAGGAAGTGCGAGTTTGAGGATATTAAGACCAAACCCCGGAATATTTTAAGTTTTGTATACGGACTTGTAAATTGTATTATAGAGTAGATTTTATAGGTTTGTGCATGCTAGCGATAAACATTGACAATTCTACTATATTTTTTAAATTTTTCATTTAGGATAGGATAGGATTTACATATTTATCCCAGGGGAGAGGAAAGCCGATAAGACGGCTTATCCATATGGCGAACCATGGCCACTCGTCCGGTTACCATTCCCAGTCGGGTATGGGATTAGTTTTACTGTATTGTTTGTTTTCGAAGCATGGACTTGGTGGTGGAGGAAGCCGTAACCGACCAGCGGTTACGTGAACCACCCAACGACGGCGAGGAGTCCAGCAATCCTCTCGCACATAACCATCACTGCATGGGATTCGAACCTGCGAACCCGAGCAGAGTAATTAGAGGTGCGGTGGCGAGCGTATTCCTAACGCTTAGCCCGTTGAGCCACACCACCGCGCCATTTCATTCCAGACAAAAACATTTCTCAATTTGCTTTCAGATGCCTCTTGTATTTGCTGAACCTCCTCCTTCACAACTTCTTTGCAAAATATGCAATCGTGTTTATAAAGTTCCGATCATCATGTCATGCGGACATTCCTTCTGTAAAACATGCACAATGACTTTGGAACATTGTCCTGTGGATGGAAAGGCTATGACACCGGTGAGCAGATTTTCAATTTGCTTTTATGTGAAGTTTTGATCTTTAGGTTTATACAAGTGCCCATGTAGACGTGACAACCTAGTGGCTTCAGAATGAGCAAAACATTGTAGTTCAGCAAAGCATGCCTGAATTCTTAGATCTGGGTGAAGTAGGCCAAAACGTGCTTTATTTATATCAAATTTCCCTACAGAATGCTTGCTTGTTTTAAACTAATTAATAGGTTTTGTTTGCTTATATTATATTCTCATATCATAAAGCTTCTGTGGGAAAGCTGGCTTACACAGCTCGGGTTCAAATCCTCACCCAAAGTCTACAAATCGGGCGGGTTTCTTTAATAAAGTAGCTATTTACATATTGTTAGTTATTTTTGGCTGCTTGTACAGTGTCTCTTTTGGAGCAAAAGGTATGAATGCAATTTTCGTAACTTGAAATGCTTTTTAGACCCTCGGCCTCAAGACTAGAAAACACACATTTTCTGGCCGGACCCACTAGCTGATATGGTCGAACTCGGCAATTAGAAATTTTAACCCCCTTTTAGAAAATTCCTGTCTACGTCCTGAGCATGTATATTATTTTTACACACTCTGATATAATTCATGCTTAAATGGCACCAAGGGCCCATTTTGTTCATTCTAGTAAAATTCCAGTTTTCTTACATTAGGGCGCCCTAAATATCAGTGTTTGTACGTACATTTTACGGAGTGAATGTGTGAAAGTGGCACATAAAATACAATCAACCTACATGTCAGTGGCTTCTTGCAAATTGTCTTATATAGAGTGTATTTAAATCAATTGACATGAAGTATCAACTATAGTACAAGGCCAACCAAGTTAAGCAATCTTAAGTAAAATACAATTCAAAGAACAAGAACAAAACAGTTGGATCATGCAATGAAATATAATGTACCGGTAATGTTCAGATTGGCAACACAACATAAGCAAGCTAGCATTTTGAATTTTTAACTCAATTTAACTCTTACAAAAATTCTAACAAGTATGAACTTTCATCCAAGTACATGAATTCCAACCAATTTTTTCTCAAACTCCACAAAGTTGTTTTTGTCTCTGACGTCTCTTTCGAACAAATGTAATCAACCTACAGTGGCTGCTGTGAAGAGCCTTATATAGAGTGAAGATGTGGCAACACAACATAAACAAGCTCAGTTCATGTTTTCTGCCCTTTTTTTCCAACTTTCAAAACTTCGCTTCAGAGTTGTTTTTGTCTCTGCCGTCTCTATCGATTGAAATTATTGATTTTTGCACTGGTGGTTTCCTTGCAGACGAATTAAGGTCTTTGCAAATGGATGTTTCTCTCAGAAATAGATTTACCCTAATTGAATAAAAACCTTGCTAAAAATTTTAAAGTAACCTTGTTAGATCTGCTTCAGAAAATTTAATAATTCTGTCAATTTCATGCATGATTGAACAATTTCTGGAAATGTATTCTGCCAAGTATGGTGATTTTATAGAAGACTATTTCTATTCAAGGCCAAGTCATTTGTTAGAAAGAGGGTTAGATATACGGTTGCAAATTTGGGATTCTAGAGATGGGTGAATGATTGTAATTACGATCAAAATAGACTCTTTGGGGATGCCATATAGACAGATTAGATATAGGTTTGGATATATGGTCACAATCACGATTTGAATTGATCCCTTCATTGAGAAGTATTGGTCTGCGTCTAGGCAACAGTTTAGAATTACGAATGGTTATAGATATGGTCCCTATATTGGTTTCTTTGACCTCCATATCATTGGTCAAATGATATAAATATCTTGTAGTCATTTTATAAAATTTTAATCCATGTCACGCAAGTAACAACTGACACTTAGGTAATTAATGTATAACATGCTTAGTGTTTCACAATATTGTTGTGTAAGAATGAGTCATCTTAGATAATTGTGATGCAATGAATCACATTACAATTCTCCTCTGGGTGAACAATAGAGATAATTACATATGAGAAATGACATATTATTATGCTCATTGACCAAAGAACATTATAGGGGAATTCCTATTTAAATAAGAAATATTTTACTGTTTCTTTGCACACCCTCCATTTTTAGTTCAAATCAATGGATTGAATACACTCGATTAAGGCTAATCGAGATATTAATCAAATACTGTTAGGCATATGGTTTAGAAACTCACAATTCCTGAACTTGTGTTATAGTAAAAGTGGCCTTAAATCAAAATATTCAATTATATTGTTTGTCTGGGGGCAGTGTGGTGTACATCATCACCACTTATCTCCAGAGAGAAGTGGTTTCCGACCGAAAAATATTTAGGGGATTTTCATTGACAAAATCATAGTGCTATGAATAATTATTGATGTTTAGGTACACGTTTCATTAATATTTGTGTATTTTGGAATGCGTAAGAACGAATTAAAATAATTATCATTGTTTCATTGAAAAAAAGTTTTGGTAATCGAACAAATCGTTCGAGGTGTCACTGCATATTTAAATTTTCCTTTAACCAAATCAGAATTATTTGCAAAGATTTTCAGTCCAGCAGTTAATTCATACGCAGTCCATCCACCTACTTTATGATTTGTGCTTGCTACTGCTTTTTCTAATTGCTGTTAACCCGCATTATCATATTATATAAATTCAATTCTTTATTACCTTCAATTTGATTTCTACATTCAGATAGTGGACAATCTTGCTGTCTCAGAACAAGTCAATTCACTATTCATTCATTGTCGATATGGTTTGAGACCGACAGCTGACACATTCGGGGAATTTGAAATTGATTCAAACGGATGCCCCTTCACTATCAGATTCGGTGAAAGAAGGTTAGTGTTCTAAATCAGTGTTTTTCAATGTATGGATCGCCTAAAAATTTTCTTGTGTGCTTGCTTTTTTCAATGAAAAAACTAAAAAGTGATTCAATAATCAATAGTCTTGCTGCACACTAACACAAATATATTTCTGTAACGTTTCGTCTGACTAAGGTCAGACATGCATACGTAGCAGGACTGGCATGCGAAGTTCAGCAGTTGAGCTATGTATGTCTGAGGAAGTCTGACCTTGGTCGAAAGAAACGTCACAGAAATATATTTGTGTTAGTGTGCAGCAAGACTCTTAAATCACTCAGGATAGTTATCTTTACTCTTGCTACAGCATCCTTGCATTATATGCATACGGATCCGACACAAAGCATAAAAACGGGAGAAATAGTCTTGTAGAAACCCAATCGATAGCCAAAAAAATAAAAGTTACTAATTTTATAGTAAATTTTATTGTTTGTCTTATATTTGATATTGTAGTGTTTCTCAATAGTAATTACGTGTGGTGGTTGCGTACAACTTCGCAGCATTTATTTTGCTTAAGTGAAGCCATGCGCCGATTTCACAAACTCGGTGATGGCAAAAACAGGCAGTTTTCTCACTTTAAAATAATTTCTGAGAAGATAAATGTTATATAAAATTGTTTATATTATTCATTTAATTTTGCTCATAAAAGTACTACTCGTTTAGTATTCGAACAGATCCTTGGGTCACAAGATTTTTCAGAATCTACTTTTTTAAATTTGGGTCGCTTGAAAAAAAGGTTGAGAACCACTGTTCTGAATGAAGCTTGTTGTTGAGAAGAATTAGTCTTAAACACTCTGTAAAGAATATTATGGAAATAAGAGTGTTGTAAGAGAAGACTTTCTTTTCCTACCTTTATTTATTTAGACCAGTGGTTCTCAAGATTTTTTTTGGCACATCAACTGGTGCAACGGAAAAACTACAAGAAAAACAAAAAATTATTTTCGCATAAATAGATAATTCCACTTTTTTTTAATTAAAATGAAGATTACAACTAAGTTTCCAAAAACAGCATCATCGTTCATTGCTACTTTCATTCATCAAATTATACAAATATATTAATAACTCCAGCAATTTTTAATATGTTTCTGGCTCATCTGAAAATGTTCCTGTGGTCCATCGTTGGGCCATGCATGACCAACTGGTTGAGGAAACCATTCGTAAATAAATTGAAACTTTGGAAGTAATTATTGACAATTACTCACTGTTCATAATATGAAAGGAGGATGTACACGCATCCTTTAAATATGAAATAAGATGAGAGAGCATGCTACAGTGGATCTCCTCACCTAAACTAAATCAGGGACAAACTGTGTCCTTTGCTCATCAATGGCGGTATATCCTCGTCTATAAGTTATAAACGAGGATATACCGCCAAGTTCAAAACTAAAAAAAGTTGCCAAACAAAGGCGCTTATACGAGCATAACTTTGATCGCACTAAAAATTCAGCTTATACGCTCATATAACTCTGATTGTACTCAAATGGAATGACGTGAGCTAACTTAATTCCAACTGCTACAACTCGAACCATACGGCGTGCTGCGATTTGTAGGGCTGGCTTATGTGTGAATTTTTATAAATTCACTGTTTCAGGACCAATTTTAGAGGGCCAGCTCATAATATGTGAGGATATACAGTAGCAAAAAATAATTCCTATTTTTATCCAGGAAACACGAATCAGAATGTGAATATGCACCGGTATCCTGTCCTAATAATCCAGCATGTCCGAACATGTTGAAACGACATCTATCAGAGCATTTAGAATCTTGCAAACATATAAAATGTCCTAATCATAAATTTGGGTGAGTTCAATTTGAATAATTTTACTAAAGAAGGGCGCTCCAGAAGTATGTGTACCATGGAGGTAACTTTTTTTTTCGTCTACTTCACATCAAGTTGAGTAAAGGGACTGAAGCCTATGGGCAGGGGCTATATTCACTTGGATGAGACACACAGTCCCCGAATTCGTAATAGAACTAAAATAAGGAAAATCTGAATAAAATTATGGCCTAACCCTATCCTGGTACACATACTACCGGAGTACCAAAAATAGTTCAAAAGGGATTATCTATACATGTGATAATCATGGAATCCAAGAAATGTTTTACCAGACTGCGACTCCTGAGTTTGAAACTGTAAAGAATTTGAAACTGACTCTATTTAAATCAGAAACTATGCTACATGAATGACAAAATATCCTGGAAAAAATTTCTAGCTTTCATAGCCTTTATTTGTATTTCAGTCTCTTAAACTCTCCAGTTTATAAAGTCTGCCATTCTAACACTGGACAAGACTGAAGTGTTTGAATTTCTATATTGAGCTGGCTCTATGCTGCATTATGGTTTAGCAGTTGATTACCTGGTATACAAGTAATTAAAATACTCATAATGTGAATGGACTTGGAATGCATGGGCCGCACTGCGATCACACATAAATTATAGGGTACAAATCAGGCAGGGTATTGAGTGGTATGATAATAAACCTTCACAATGTCCAAACCATTAAGTCAACAACATCTTACTTTTCTAGGTGCCAGTTTATTGGTGACAAACCGAGCCTGACAACCCATGAAAGCATCTGCAAATTTGAAATGGTGAAAGATTTCCTTCAACTTACTGAAGATAGAATAACAGATCTGACTAATGCAATGAGACAAAGAGATGATGAAAACAGTTTTTTAAGGTTTGTGCTAGAGTTATAAAGATGTTTTGAAAATTGTACTCAATTTTATTTAGGTTAAGATGAGGTCTGGGTTTTCAGGTAGTTCTAGATGTGCAGTAGGGCAGGGGTGTCCAACTCGTGGCACCAGGGAACTTCTAATGCGGCCCTCGAACGCTTAACAATAATTGTAATATTTTGTGATTTTTTCTCTAAATGTAATAAATTTAAGAAATAATAAAACTTTTTTCGGCTGTTTTATTACATCACAATATATATTATCAAAATATATCAAAAACTGTTTGCGGCCCTTGGCACAATTCCCAAAATGCAATGTGGCCCTCGACAACCCACAAGTTTGACATCCCCATAGGGCATGTGGTACATGTTCTTCAAGTGATGTGATGGCATCACACGATACAAATGAGGCAATGAGGTTGAATAATAAAAGTTGAACAAGAAGTACAAGCGTGTCATTACGAGTGTTTCTTTTGTGACAAATGCAACATGCTGCAAACTGTGTTATTATAAATAGTTTGAGAATCACTTAGGGTAGTAGTTTTACTCTTTCGACAACATCCTTACATACATATCCATCGGCACAAAAGCATAGAAGAAGGATAAATAGAAATTTAATCGATATAACATGTTATTTTTATTACAGGTCGATGTTGTCTAAAACAGCAGATCGAGTTGATGAGTTAGAAAAAGCAACAGAGATTAAATTCGGTAAGTGTAATTCTTATTTTTCTTCTCATCTTATGTCCATGCATCTGGAACAAATAACTGGATAAATAAGGTGATCTCATACCCGACATGGACTGGTAACTGGATGATAGACCATTGTATGCCGTATGAAATGAAAGTTCATGCGTCTGAAACGAATTGCTGGATAAAAGTTCGAATATAAAACTCCTCTTCTATAATGAACAATTCATTCCGGTTTTCAATTGCTATGACGATAACCACAATCATGATCAATTCATCATGTGACATAAATTACTATTCAGCATAAGAAACTTCTCTTTCAAGGCCCGAGGCAATGCTATCATAGCCTTAAATAAGGATCTTATTGTGATTATAGGCTTTTGATTGACGTTATATGGTTTATTAATATAACAAATTATTACGAATACAATACAATTACGCCTAATATGGCCATTGCGATGTCAGCAAATTTCCAGTTGAATGTCAAAATAATTGTATCAAATGTCATATTAAGATGTGCCCTATATATAATTATAAAACCAAAAAAATTAAAATCCATGCATCCAAAACAAATGACTGGCTAACTAATTCCATACCCGACATGGACTGGTAACCAGACGTGAGGCCGTGGTTTGCCATATGATTTTGATGTTTTGTCGCCCTCCCTCTCCCCCAGGATAAATATGTGAATCCTATCCTAAATGGTCACTTGAGTGCAACTCGAGTCGAGTCAATGACTCAAGCCTGCCCATCACTCATACTCTTCCAAGTAAAACCGTTATGAGGTCATAGACAAACATACAGCCGTTCAGGGCTTGACATGAGCAGAGGACTTCTCACCAAGTTTAGTTGTTAGGTGAATACCGATAATACGAATCATTAAGAGTTGGAAAATTATTGTATTTTGAGATTTGCGTATAAATATATTAATATTGGAATATATTTGGTGAACCGGCAGCAAGGTTGCTACGGACCGGCACTTGAGAACTGCTTTAAAGACTTCTGACCCTGAAGATTTTTGAATTTCTGCTGACGCCGAAAAGTTTAAAAATACAACTTTCACTCTAATATCAATAAAAACTATAGAACCTGCTTTCAAACCTCAACTCTAATTTTGATAAATTTTTCAGATGTATTGACTCAAAACCAGAATAAAATATCAGAAGAACTAAGGCAACTCCGACAAGATGCTGTGATTATTACAAATGAATTACAGAACTTGAATACCAAGTTAAATATGGGAGGAATAGGGTGTAAGTATTTCTGAGACGTGTTTCATATTCGATAAAATTATTTTGGCGCTCCAGAAGTGTGTGTACCAATGTGGAGGTAATTAGTTTTCTTCGCCTACTTTACATCAAGTTGTTTAAAAGGACTCGCTTGGGTAACACAGACAGTCCCCGAACTCGTAATAGAACTAAAATAAGGAAAATCAGAATAAAATTATGGCCTAATCCTAACCTGGAACACACACTACACAGAGTACCAATTATATAGTTTTATTTTTTTGCACAATTTTTGTGCATAAGGATTTAGGCAGACAGTCGTTGATAAATAATATACGACTAAGTTTTTGAAAGTCAGTGATCTTACAGCAATGCTATTGTTAACGACTTATTGTAGTAATTGAACCCGACAGTTATTATGATCTTTATTGGACACAAAGTGGACCTATGGATCAATTTGTTATTATGTTGTTGTTGGTATTTTTTTTGTTGTTGCTTTGAAAAAATCACTTTCCTCATTAACTGCTGGACCAATTGCTTTGAAATTTTCAGTGGCTGAAGATTTTATTTTTCACTAAAAGGCTTTTGCTTTTATTTGTTTCAAAACTTCATGTGGGCTTATGTGATTTAATTTCCACATGACCCTGTCCAACCTCTTTAGTGCTACTACTCTCTTGCTTCACAGAAGTTTTTTTTTTTTATGTTATTCTTAAGTTTTTCATGTTATTCCTATTTATTGATCTATTGATCTATATAATACTACCACATTCGAGTATCCTTGTGGCAACTGATACATTCGGATCCAAAATAGAGAGTAAACAAGGAGAACGGATTTTCAGTTTAGTACATAATATCCTAATAAAATGCAAAGTTCGAATATACTTTATTTCCGGATCGGTGTTCGACTACCGACGTCATCTCACTCGACAGCGTGCTCGAGTGTTAGAGCACTAAATTTCCTTTCGAGTACCAAAGCATTTCTGACTAGAATTGTTTGGCCGAATAAAAATTGTTGGGAGTATTGAGCCATTTGACTATCGAGGTATCACTGTACGAGGTTACATGTTGTTATCCACAAGGCCATCTTTCCCATGAGACATATTCCGGTGCTCCCGAAGTATGCGAACCAAGATGGCGGACATCGGAACGTAACATGGGTAACAGGTCAGGGTTAGGCGATAATTTTTTTCCAATTTTTCTTATTTTAGTCCTATCATCAGTTCGAAGACTAGCCAAGAGCCTCCCGTAGTATTTATACCTAAAATTATGGCCTAACCCTAACCTAGTACACATATTACATTCCAATGTCCGCCATCTTGGTTCGCATACTTCGGGGGAGCCCCCAAATTTTATTGATATTTGCATTTTATATTAATATATTTAAATATTTCACAGTATATGACCCGCAACAAATTTTCAAATGCAAAGGAACATTTGTCGGCCACACCGGCCCTGTCTGGTGTCTGTTTGTTCATGGAGATTTGCTGTTCAGTGGTTCGTCTGACAAAAATATAAAGGTTGGACTTTATTTTTGTGGCAATGTCTAAAAGAATTTAACGGTCGATATGACTATATTTGGCAATTTAAAATTCTTTAACATTTAAATATTATCATATTCTACAATTGTCATTTCGTAGTATGGCTTAGAAAATAAAAACAAACAAATGCATAGAAGAATGATAAGTAGTTAGTCTTACAGAAACCAAATAATCAAACAAATTGCTGTTCCATTACGCTTACTTGCATTCCCAAAACAAAGTTATTGGATATTCATTGATGTCTAAGTGCTTGCACACGACCAAGCTAGAATTGGGTTCTTTTTTTAGAAATAACTTTAAAATAATTCCGCTTGAAAAATTATCATATTGAGCGATTGGAGTTTTATAGATTATGGTCACAAAGGCCTTGATTTTATTTTTTCTGGAAACTTGAGAAAATCATTAATTTTTTTATTCAAACTCTTCGAATATACATTGAATTCTTCTTTGTGGTGCATAGAATATTTTAGTATTTACTAAGATGCAATTCTACACTATAGGGTGTCCATGAAGTCCAGAAATTTTTTAAAATTGTAGAGGGAATTTATTGATAATATATATTGTTTTGACCCTCACAGATGTATTAAATAAAGTAAATACATTACTGATTAAAAAAGCAACAAACCGGTTTAAGATATATTGAGAACTAACTTCATAACAAAATTGAAATTGTAAAGGAACTTATGGCTCCTGGCACTTTCATGGTCGTCAGTAACTTTCTCAGAGATCAATCTTCTATACTCTTGAGGAGTGCACATGAGCCTGCTTTAAGCAAATTTCCTCATACAAAAAGATCCTGAACACATTATGATTATATGTTGGTTTTGGCCATCTCTGCTACTGATGCTTCGATACAAATTGACTTTTCACTTTCAAGGTCTGGGACACTGCAACAAACTACAAATGTCAAAAAACACTAGAAGGGCACACTGGAATTGTTCTTGCTATAACTGCTAAAGGAAGCAATTTGTATAGTGGATCAGCTGATTGCAAAATTAAGGTAATTTTGATTAAATTTTAATTTACTTTGATTGGAGGTCATCAGTTTTATAGTTGGCTCGTCGCTGAAATCCGAGATGGCTAATCGGTACTCCTGTAGTGTGTGTACCAGGCTAGGGTTAGGCCATAATTTTATTCCAATTCTCCTTATTTTAGTTATATTATGAGTTCGGAGTACACAACTTGATGTAAAATAGGCGAACAAAATTCGTTACCTCCATGTTAGTACACATACACTTCTGGATCGCCAGCTAATCTTTTACAGAATGAATACCTCATGATATTTTTTTAGTTCTTTGTTCATGTGATTAGCCTAACCCCAACGTGGTACACATACTATGTTCAGATCTTGGTTCACAAACTACGGGAGTACCAAAGTTTCTTGTCTTATTATGGTAAGATTTATAATATGAAGATATATTGTTATTCCCAGGTTTGGAACATCAATACATTGGAAGAAGTCAATTCTATCGATGCTCACGAGAATGCAGTTTGTACTTTGGTTTGTTCGTATAATTACCTGTTCAGTGGATCTTTGAAGAATATCAAGGTTTGTATTATAGATCTCACTACTTGTTGGGAATTTTCAATCCTGAACCCCTTTAGATAATCCTGTTTCTTTCAGTGTTTCTGAAACTTTCTTGAATTGCGGCCTGTGTGTTACCATTTTTTCATATCATTTCGGAGTTCAAAATAATATTACAGTATATCATCTCTTATATTGGTACTTCCGAACAGTGGCGTAGCCAGGGGAGTGGTTTTGCGTGTCGAACCCCCCCCCCTTTGAAATGTGAAAAAAAAAATCTGTATTAACCTAATCCTCCCGGTTTGACGCATGCGCGACGTTTCAGACGTTTTGCAATGCTGTGTGTATACCATGAGGTCTGGAATGTTTGTTATGGTCTTGCTTGAAAGGAAATCTTATTCCCCACACAACGATATGAGAATGAACCTTATATGACATTTAGAAGTGATAAAATTTCGCTTACATATCACGCGTGTACTTCCCGCTGCGATATAAAAACGTCGCACAACAAGAAAATGATTCCATAAACCTTGGCGTTGCGCGCTAACCAATAACAAAAGCTAGTATGATAAGGTCTTATTTTGAAGGTCATTTTATATGCTACATAACATAGGAGAGTGGACATCTCACAACGTAAGGAAGTTATAAAAATATCGAGTCGTTTGATCGCAGCTGCCTCACCGAAAAAAAGTTAGGCGTTTTATCTCGCAAATTCTCCTTGTCTGACGATTATAAGCTTTCATGATTCATAATAAATGTTTTATTATGACTCACAAAAGCTTTCAACGCGATAAAGCACAAACAAACAACCGATCGATCTATCAAGCTTAGCCTGGCCTGATTCGATGTGGTGACTTCTCAAACGGAAAATTTCCAAAACGCTTGAACAAAGCGCGCTATGGAAAAGCGTTTAGTATCATATGAAAGAGAAAACCAATGTGCAGTCAACTGTATAGTTACATTTCAGCTTTACAATAGCTGTAGACGTCCAACAGCTGATAGAATGAGAGAGTGTAAATATTTTTGTTATTTTTTGACGTTACGAGAGACCTCTTGAAAGAGGTGTTTTAGTTTACGGTCCTCCAGTGACATCTAGCGTATAGTACTCTAAAATACCTTTCCAATGGTATATAATTATTGTATATTGGGTAAATTTTGGGGGTCGTATGACATTAATAAAAATGTATTCAAAATTGGGCTCGATTGGGCGTCTGAATCAGGTTAAAGATAGCAATTTTTTGTAGCTTGAAATGCTTTTTAGATCCCCAAGACCACTAACACGCGTATTCCAGCGTTCGATCGGACCCGCTAGCTGTTTCGATCTAAAAAAAATTTCAAAACACCGCCCCCCCCCCCCTTTGATGATTTCTGGCTACGTCCCTGCTCCCGTAGTATGTGAACCAAGATGGCGGACACCAGAATGTAGTATGTGTATCAGGTTGGGCCATAATTTAATTCCAATTTTTCTTATTTAAGTTCTATTACAAGTTCGGGGACTCCTGTAGTGCGCGAACCAAGATGGCGGATACCAGAACATAGTATGTGTACCATACCAGGTTATGGTTTTGGGTACAAATACTACAGGAGTCACTTGGCTAGTCCCCGAACTCGTAATAGCACTAAAGTAAGAAAAATTGGAATAAAATTATCTCCTAATCCTAACCTGGTACACATACTACGTTCCTGTGTCCACCATCTTGGTTCACATACTTCGTGAGTACCCTTATATTTTCTTAAACCAGCTTGGGATTGAAAAGGGGACCCCTGACTTTCGGTGCATTATGTTTGAGCGTTTCAAATTTGCTTGCAAATAATCTTGAATATGCTCACTGGTTTTGAAATATGCATTTGCTCTCATCATCAGGCCAGTGGTTTCTGACCGTCTTCTGGTTTTACAGTAATACTGTACACAAATACAATGTAAAATTTCCTTCCCCCAACAGCAACATTTGTTTTGACTTCTTTCTCAAACGCTTGTTTGATTCTCAAGGTCTGGAAAGCTGAAGGAACAGAACTCACTCTTCACCGAGAACTAACTGGCTTAAATCACTGGGTTCGGGCTCTTGTCGCTTCACAGAATTATATCTACAGCGGTAGTTATCAGACTGTGATGGTGAGAATTTTTTTTTTTTTATCTCTTGAAATGGGGGGGGGGGGGGGTAATGTGCACCTAACTCCCACTTCGTTCTCTCTGCCGTGTGTCAGTGTATACACCAGTGGTTCCCAATCTTTTATTGAACATGACCTCTTTAAGGAGGCTATCTTAGCACTCCCTGTTTAGGCCCCCCTGTTTATCATTCCAGTGGTATTTATAGGGTTTTATGCACAAAAAAGTGAAAACACCCTTTGAAATAACCTCATCAAACACTAGGACTAGGAAGGATGGAGAGTTTTCTTCTGAAGTGAAAAGTAAAATCAGTTCTGCGCCTAGCATTGTGCCCCCTACCCCCCCCCCCCCCCCCCTTCCAACTGCTCTGTGGCCCTTGCCATGGGCTGGTTTGGAGCCGCCAGTACACACTGACTGCAAGAATCGAAATGGTTAAAATGTCACAATTTCAGCTTCTGAAATTGAATGGAGTTGCGTGTGCTAAAATACTGCTTCTTTTCGTACTGACTTCAAGGATACTGTAGCAAGAATCAAAATGCCCAATTTCAAAATGTGGTCTGGATGGCTTACATCACATTTTTCAAATTTCAAAATGTTTCGTTGTCTGAGGAAGTATGCAGACATATAGTCAGGTTGCGGGGCCTTGTGAAATTTTGATTGAACCATCTCAAAAATTGTAATGAACTTCTCCTTTTTCGCTTTGTGAATGTGGCCTGTAATGTTGCATTGATATCCAAATGGACTTGGTCAGTTAATTATGTTTCGTCCAAATCGATCATAATCATTTTAAATTTTGTACCTTTTCACTCATACTTTAACTTTGTTTTAGATTTGGGATGTTCGAACACTCGAGTGTGTTCATGTGCTGGAAACATCTGGTGGAAGCGTATATTCGATCGCCGTAACCGCTCACCAAATATTGTGTGGAACGTATGAAAATGTAATTCATGTGAGTGTTTTCATATTATTCAGAAATAAGTTAATGGCAATCTGATGGTGTTTCTGATCTGATTTTTCATAGACTGAGAACAGCTTGATTTTATCAAGTGGCATCGAGATAAAATTCTGTCCCATTTCGAAAATAATTTAATTTTTGATTCTGTTGAAAAAAATTGCTCTGCTTCAAGCTTTTGGTATTTCAATGATTGTCTGTAACTTTACTCGGAGATCATATTCTTTATCTCACTGGTGTGGGACTCAATCCCTATATTGTATTGTTAATGAGGGAAAAACATTGAAAGTTGCCCTTCTTGAAAAAAAAATTCTAATCTTTCACAGGTGTGGGATGTTCGTAACCATGAACAAGTTGCAACCTTAACAGGGCACGTTGGAACGATATATGCTCTTGCTGTTCTCAGCACACCAGACCAGACTAAAGTGTTCAGCGCTTCTTATGACAGATCATTAAGGGTAAGAGTTTCAATTTCAATGCCTAATGGTCATATCAGGGATGTGCAACAGGCGGCCCGTGGGCCACAACCCGACCCACGAAGCCAGTTAGAAGGGCCCTTGTCAACAGTCAGATTTTTCCTCATCAAACATAAAATCCTAATTCATGAGGTTTATGCTTGAAAAGGCACTCACATGTATAAGAATACATTTTTTTCTCTCGTAGCTGTGTTAATTTTCCACCGTTTGGCCTATCACTGTGAGGCTAAGCGATAAACGCATTCTTTCCTCTCGTCTTTTCCGGTAATTTTTTTGTGTAGCCCGGCTAGATAAATGAATATCAGTGTCTGCATATTCAGTGGTTTGTCTTTTGAAAAACAGAAAAAAATTTTGAACTTTGGTAAAGATGGATATATACTGAATAAATGAGTGTAAATCATTCCAATGCCCTCTTTTTCACACTCCTTATACGAAAATATCTTGTGTTACAATTTTATTTCCTGCATCATACCCGTCATGTTTTTCTATATTCTACTCACAGCTCACAAACAATGTAAGAAATTTAAAAAAAATGATGAAAAACAAATATAAATAAGTAGGCCATGTGAGAGATTGATTTATTGCTTACTGAGGTGCAGTGTTCTACCCATCTACTGCAAACAATTCTCAGAGCTAATAACAATCGTGTGATTTTTTTTATTTTAGGTATGGAGCATGGACAATATGATTTGTACTCAAACCTTGATCCGACACCAAGGTAGCGTGACATCACTCGCTGTTTCAAGAGGAAGAGTTTTCTCTGGAGCTGTTGATTCAACAGTCAAAGTATGGCAGTGAAAACTACAACCAAATATCATGATGCGCTCGTCGCAAATCGATTGTATCTCGATGAGACTTGAGTTGAAGTTTAGAGCCAAATATGAGAATGCAGTTACAGCGGATAGAACTTACATATTTATCACCGGGGAGAAGAAAGCCGATAAGACATCTTAATCATATGGCAAATCACAGCCTCTCGTCCGGTTACCAGTCCAAGTCAGGTTTAGTTAGCCAGTTATGTGTTTCCGGAAGCATTGACTTGATAGTGGAGGAAGCCGTAACTGACCAGTGGTTACTAGGGCTGGGAATGGTTAACCGATTTCAGATGGTTAACGGTTATGATTTATTTTAACCGTTAACTGACATCTCAGGTACAAATCATCTTTATACCGTACAATTTCGTCAAATATGATTACGTCATCTCAAATTTATCTCTTGCGATGTTTAATTCAAAAAAATATTACTAACTGTGTGGGTAAGGACTCAATAAATGTAAAAAATAATGGAGGTACCAAGGTTGCTGATAATGAAAATTTACAATGATAAATTCAGAATCAGTTTTTGGTCGATTTCAAAATATATTGTTCACGATTTCATTGCAAAATCGGATATTCAATGTCATACAACAAGTGTGCAGTTAATGCCGTTTTTCTCTATGAAATATATCTCGAAGTAGAATTTGCACATCAAAAACTGAAAATTTGTCACATAAATGGCGTTTGACAACGGAATCGGGTTTTCTTAAATATTTCCACATGCCCGAACCACGCTGCCTGTCTTTTGCAGCAGAGGAATCATGAAACTATCTCAATTCGTGAATAATTTTGAGCGATACTGGGATAAGAACACGCGAAATTGCTTTATAACCATTGTGACGTAACAAGCTGAAATTATTATTAACGTCAAACGTCACGCGACGGTTAACTGGTTAATTTTACCCGGTTAATGGTTAAAGTGTTTTCCCTGAAATTCCCCGCCCTAGTGGTTACGTTAACCACCCTGCGGCAGCGAGGAGTCTAGCAATCCTCACGCATAAAACTATCCTGTCACATACCTGTCAAAATGAACACCAGAACCAGTAGATGGGCTGTCCAAACTCAAAATTCATATATATTGCACACCAAAGTAACTCTATATGGTTTCAGTATCTTTTGGCACTTCATCGGTTTCTTGAATCGGTTTGGGTGGTTTACTCTGACCTGGTTCAGATCTTCTGCTGAGTGAGGAAGCGTGATTGTGCTTTTAGCAAAGAGAGATTAATTGATGAAACTCTAGCCTAGGGGTTCTCAAACTTCTGGTGTTATCGAGCCTATGAAGAGGTTGACTATTATTATCTATGAGGCCCTGGGGCTCATTATTGAGCAGTTTTAGAATCTATTCTCCAGGCTTAAACTGACTGTATTATGGTTAAATGCAGATGATATGAATAATCAGGTTCGAAAGTATAATAGCAGTTCTATTTTTGCACTAGCGTCGAGAGTTCTTTATCTAAAGTCTGTAATGCTTGTTCAATCGAGTATTTTTATGTAAAATATTTCCACTCGGAATTTGACATGGAATATTCAAAATAGAATAAGAATTGGTGTTTAATATTGCTTGCTCCAGGAACGACTTGTGAGGGATCATCAAAAAATAATGTTTCAATATAATTTGGACCAAATTTTGAATTCTAATATGCATGTTTTGATCTGTAATTATCTTGGCCATTCCTGCACTATTCTATTTAATGAAATGATCATCATATTGAATTTTAAATTGTTCCTGTGCCCAATCAGTTGGGCTCCAGTTAGTGACCTTTTCCAAAAACTAATCTCATAATAATTTTTAGCGTATCTTTGAAAAAGCAAAACAAAAAATTTAGGTATATATATGAGTGTTGCATTGAAAAAACCTAAAATTTGCTATCTTGTAGTAATAATTCAAAATATACAGTGTTTTTTAAGGGGGTGGCAAATTTTTTTGTATCATGCCGCAATATGATGCTTACTGGTGCATTTTTTCTCTTTACAAGGCTAGATAAAGCAGCCCTTGTCTACGTCTATATTTTTGACGCTCCGATGTTCAAAATAATGTTGGTTTTACACAAGATGAAAGTCTAGTGTCAATAAAACTTCTATTTATCTATTAATTGTAACTAAATCATTGCAAAGAACTAAATATATCCCGTGAATGTTATTAATTTACTAACAAATTTCAGAATTATATCTTTTGTTATAGAATAAGACCTCATAATGAGTAAAAGCATTAGAACACACAACGCGTAATATCATAGTCCTGGTGCACAAAACTACGCTAGTTATAAGCACCATTAAAAATTATAAAAATGTGTCCAATGTAAAAAAAATGACTGTTTTGCGGTCGACCCAGAGAGGTTAGCAGATGAGATACTTTAAACTGTTTTTTCTAATAACATGCCGTTTCCTAACGAATGAGTTTTTTCTAAGAACCCAATACTTCTACTCTTCCCAATCATTATTTTTTATTTTCTTTCAAATATAACTTGAGCCTTATTAAATAAATAATTATCTTTTATACTTTATCATGAAGTTTCCGATGAAATATATTGTTTGCCTTTTTTCAGATTATTACATGTTTCAATATATTTTTTTCTTTATTTCTGTTGATTTATAATTTTTGGTAAACATTGAAGTTTTTCATGAGGCGTTTCAATATGTCCACTACCAGCAAGCCACTTTTCCAGAATATGGCATATTTTATAATTTTCTTTCTGATTCTAATATTTCATAATATCTAGTTGAGTTGGGAGGTGTTTTCACATCTCTACTTCAACGAGGCCCTGTGCGAGCAGTCGCTGATATGTATGGAGCTGCTATTTTTTGAAGATCTTGCAGAATAGTACTTGTGTTAGTGTGTGGCATCAAGATGCTTTGTTGCTATCAACTCTCATGTAACTGAAGTCTATGGAGTACAAGAAACTTCAGAAAAAGAATAGGCAGTTTGTCACAAGAATATATTTCTGTAAATCATGTTAATTTCTATTCACTTTATGATGACATTACTGCCTTCAACTTTAATTGTGAGAAATGCCTGATTTTATTCGATTCTTGTTATTTGATTAATTTGTGCGGACCTACTTTTTCATTTATAAACTGTGTATGAAATGTGCTTTTGATAATATAAGCCTAAACTTGCAAAATTGGCCTTGTCGTTGTTCACCCTAGGAAAAACCGGTGGGTTAAGCAAAAGCACCTATCAGTTGTATGCCGTTTATTTTCCGAACGCGGAGCAAGAAGTTTACATCATAATTTGGAATTTAATGTGGCGATCAGAAGTGGAGAATTACGAGGTTTTAAATATACAAAGTATAAAAACTGATATTCATAAATAACACGTTTTCATTTAGAATAATAACTGCGTTACATAGATTGTTAATCAGTTAAAACGACTAAGAAAGATTTCTTGTTATTGACTATGTCAAAAAAATTCGCGCTATCGACTAAACCTAATTTTAACGGGAAGTCTAATATCAAAATCATTTTTAACATTCAGTCTAGACCAGTGCTCTTCAACAGGGGTTCCGCAATACATGCAGTGGGGTTCCGTGAGTTTATAGGGTTCCTTGGGGGTTCCGCGTTTTTTTTTTTTTCAGGGGAAAATCATTTCTTACTTCAGCATGTTGATGCGTCATTAAAAATATTCTTAGACCACCGTGTCTTATTCAAACTACAAGCCAGTTCGTTAAATAGGAGGTTTAGTCACAGGGCAATAAATAGCCAAAACTGAAATATTTTCGGTTGTTGCGTCACTTTAGTCATTGTTATGTAACTAACAAGAAAAGAACGCCATTGTCGCACCATAGTTACATGTTGTTCAGCTTTTGTTGGAGTATAGTAAAAATAGTGTGAAACCCGACTTTTTAATACCTTCAAAAAACATGTAAAGGCATATTTTTAGATTTCTCTCAACAAGGAGATTACAACAATTGCAAAAGAAGCCTCAAAACTTCTTTGTGTCAATTTCCCAATACCTATTTGTGTGAATCAGCGTTTTCTGCTTTAACAACTATTAAAACGAAAACAAAAAAAATGTTCAAAGAGTGTAGACATGAGTATGAGAATTGCATTGAGCGCCGTGGAGCCACGATTCAAGAAGATTGCAAAGGAAATTCAAGAACAACCTAGTCATTGAATTTCACGCTTGTTACCTATTTTCTGTTTCGTTGTTGAAATAGAAATATTTGAATTACAAATATTTCGTGTTACGAGTATTTCGTTTTTTTTTCAATTTTGTTAATTGGGGTTCCATAAAACGAAAAATTATATCAGGGGTTCCGCAATAACAAAAAGTTTGAAGAGCACTGGTCTAGACTCTAGTCTAGGTCTCATTCTCGGGGGAAAAAAAGGTAGGTGGAAAATAATATCGCCAGTACCCTACCGGATTGGCCCAGTGTACATAAAGTTTGTCAACAACTGTTTTAGCTATTTGAACCTAAATTCCAGACACACAAATAAATACTGATAACGAGCTAATGCTCACAAACACGTCTGAAAATCTGTGCGAGTGAAAAAGTATTTGAGTCTTGTTTATCATCAATCAATCAATAAAACAACACTAAACGGGCAAACAAAATGCAGAGGACCTGGCAAGCGAGCATAACTTAGGAAAGAGTTAAAAACGTACGAGTACGCGCCCGTCCACCAAAACAGCTAACACACGATACAAAATTGTGCAATAACTTTGAAATCAATTTAAGATGTAATCGTTGACATCGTGCCGATTAGCCAGTGTTACGGAAATAAACAAAGAATTCAATGATCACGGAAGCAAGCATTCCGCATTGTTATCTCACAGTGATATAGTTTGTCGTCCCGGACGACGGCAACAGTGCGACAACGACCTTTCTAGTTTGTGTGTAATTGCTAGCATATTAGGACTGGACCTTGTTTCTGCATTCATGTAAGACTATTAAAAAGAAAGCATTTAATATAATTTTATATACTGTATTTTGGATCAGATGGATGGAAATACGACAGAAAGGGTTAGTTTATTTATACTGATAAAGGTACCGGTACCGAAATTAAGCTCGGACTACTCTTTTAATAAATGGGACCGGATATACAAAAAATAAACTGCATGAACGTAATATTTGAGAAATCGCAATCGACTCTCACATTTTGTGCGGACGTTCCAGCTAGTAGATAATCGCTAAATGTATAATAAGAGGCGGCGGTGTGGCTCACCGGCTCAAAGTCAAAGCCCATATAACTAAGTCGCGCAACAGTGG